ACAAAAATAAAATAAAAAGCGTCTAAAAAGGTCGTAAAATTGACAGATAACGAAAGACCTAATACTTTCGCACTCGTGGGCGACGCCTGAAAAGCATGGCCCATGCGCATGAGTCAACTATCTCGACGTATGACCGGTGTCAGAAGCTATCGGTGCGTTGTCCAACATTATGTTGTGATTTGTAATCTGTTTGTTTCATTTATCCGCATATACAGAGCCGGATTAAGACCACTTAAGATACAAATGTAGAATATTTTCATTCAAAAACGACTATATTTCTGTATGAAAAGAAGTACAAGAACACGCGCAGTCTCAGTGGATCCAATCATTTGTAACTTTTTCAATTTTAGTCATTTGCAACAATATCACGTCGGAACTACTCTTAGGAATTCACTCTGTTTTTGCTGTATCAGCTTAACAAAATAACATAAAGAAATTTGCCAAAGAATGTAATATTTTTCAAATGGAAAATATTACATTCCATGAGTTTAACTTTAGTTCAAAAAAATCACACTAATTAATTTGAAAAGTACTTTAAAACAATTTCTCCATGTTTAAATCTATGATTTCTTTTCTGATAATTCAGTAGATAAGCTAATGATTTCTGAAATTGTAACTTATTTTTATTCGATTTGTTCGATCCCACCGATTCCCACCACTTAGCGAAAGGGCCTTAATCGGCCACTGCTTTGGATCATAAATGTTGTTTATGTTATTAAATAACACTTATTATGATTAATGTTATGATTAGAAATGACCTCTATTGCGTCAACGATTATACCAGGCCCTTAAGTATCACTTGCTTGTGCATCTTATTGACGCAATTTCTTATACAATATTTAACCTTAGGTTTGCGTAGATGAAATGTTTACGACAAAATATTGTTATGTCATTGTTGTAACAAAATAATATGTAACTGCAAAATAAATTATACATTGTCTAGTAACCTACTAAACAACAAAAAATATCTATGGTTCTTAACCTTTCCCTTTGGATGGTTAAGGAGAATGGACCATATCCCTCCACGCTGGGCTAATGCGGATTATTATATATGGTAATGTTAATGGTCCCAGTGAACAGTAGATAGGTTTTTGGTGTCCTGTTCGACCTTGGTTTCGGATATCTGTCGCTATCTGAAATCCTGCTTTGCAATGGCGGATCTTTATGAAAAAGAGGATTCAGATCCTGTGACACTGGATTCTAAATTGCAATGGCATCCTCATATTTCATTATTGGCTGGAAAACTAAGTTCAGCTGCCTTTGCAATAAAAAAAATTAGGCAACTTACAGATATAGATACCGCTAGGACCAGTATACTTTAGTTATTTCCATAGCGTTATGTCATATGGCATTCTGATGTGGGGTATGGCTGCAGATATAGAGTCTATATTTATTTTACAAAAGAGCAGTAAATGCTATTTATCAATTGGGTTCAAGAACATCACTTAGAGATAAATTCGAAGAAATTGGGATATTAGCAGTGGCCTTCCAATTCATATACAATTGTATACTTTATGTTAGAAACATTATTAACAATTACATTAAACATAGTCATGTACACAATTTTAATACTAGAAACAAAGATAAACTTGTTTTTCCGTCATGCAGTCTAAAGAATGTTCTATCATCATTTATGGGTCAAGGTATACAGTTCTATAACAAATTTTCTACGGAAATTTTAAATTTATCATTACCTAAGTTTAAAACTCATATTAAGAATTGTCTACTCACTAAAGGATATTATACTGTTTATGAATATTTAAGCGACAAAACTTCTTGGTGTTAAATATGGTTCATTTTTCATGTATATTAAATTGTTTATCAGTGAGCTTCTTTGACTATACATGTGATTCGATTGAAGAAAATACTGTTTTACTCTTATATTTTCTAATATTGTAATAGAAAGTGACAAGGCCTCCCACCGTAGATTTACGAACCGATGGCGTAGCTCTCGACTTTCACAAGTGCTTGTAACAACCTAGACTGAATAAATAATTTTGATTTGATTCTTTTTACGTCTGGATCCGCCATTGCAACATCGCATTTGGCATGTTTTTGGCCAACAACCGGTCACATGCGACTCGAACAATAAAATTCCTACAAAAGAGATGTTTCACAGAGTATATATGCACTGATCAAAAATTTGTAGTGTATTGTAATACTATGAAATGTGACGTCACAAGTCTATTAGGGTTACGGGCATACCCATCGTGCCCATAACTTGCTGCTTTGCTATTTTGTTAAAAAGAGGTACAGAATATAACTGTTGAACTCAGTCACCTATGATTGAAGTACTCGTAGTGTTTCTTATTCTAAATCTGAAACACGGATGAGTTATTACATAATTATATATATATTAGTCTGATGCCAGATATGGATGTATGTCAAGTGGGTCACGGCAGCGAGAGCAGACCGGCGCACAGACGAAACGTAGATAATGTCCATCCCGGATGTCTAGAGTTCTAAGGTCATCGAAATGCCCACCTTAAAGGTCTTATCTACAGTTTCTTAAGAGTTAGAGTACGGTAATTGTTTCATTTTCATCATTTCATGAGGAGCTCGATGGCGCAACGGTAAGCGTATTTCGGCGTTATAGTTGTAAAGCAACTTTCGTAAAGGTCGGTCATAGAATGGGTAGCCCGAAATTACCAAAAAAGCTCATTATTGCTCGGGAAGGCATAACGTGCCTTCCCAAGCAATAATGAGCTTTTTTGCCAGCATCTGCAGTCGTAACACCCACTAACACTCACTGGGTCAGCGCGATGGCCCATTCTCTGTATTCGATTCGATGCCATCCATAGGTAAGACCAGCGCCCCAATGATTTTTTTCATATTCACCGTCGATAGAATACAAAAAAATTAAACGGTAACTATTCTTTCCCAAATTGTATTACAATGGGAAAAACGAGCTTTTACAATAATAGTAATAGTGTCCCTACTTTAGCCCATTGCGCCTGTTATGACAGTCGCACCAGGGCTTTTTGGTTTTTCTTCCTCTGAGCCCTCTTAAACTTGTTATACGTACGTGTCAGCCACCTGAAATTAGTATATCGTAAAGTTTATCAAAACGCGACCTAAGGTGGACTCGATTGGTTGGAAAACTGTTTTCGTGGGGAAGTACACATGTTTTTGTAAAGATGCAGTAGGTGTACAGATTATTTTTGACCTGTTATCAATATTTATTATTTACCTATGCGGACACTCTTGCACTTCATGTTATGTGACAGTTGTTATTTGGATGGAATACCAGACGTTTTATCTACTACGTTTTATATTTTTTCTACTACGTTTTACGTTTTATATTCAGTAATAGAACAGCCTCGAACTAGACGTCGAATACGGATGATGACAAATTTTTTTCTTTGTCCGTCAAGATTAAAGAAGGATATTTCATCCGTTTTTTTTTCTGCGTAACCAATTAATTACGGCGATACATTATGTTGAAGTCGCATGACCGTCTCACCTTTGTACATTTTCTACATAGTTGAGACGTATCGAGCCCCCACTCCTTTACTTTAATGCCTATTATCTAAGTCTTTTCTTGTTAAATTGAAGCAAAAAAAATCATCATCATCGGGCCTTTATTTCGTCCCCACTGCAGGGGCTCAGGCCTTCCTTATGGATGGTTAAGGAGCATGGGCCATGACCCTCCACGCTGGCCCAATGCGGATTGGAGGGTATTAACGACTGCAAATGCAGCCGGGACCAACGGCTTAACGTGCCTTCTGAAGCTCGGAGTAGCTCGAGATAATAATTTTTTGGTCACCCACCCCGTGACCGACCCTTGCGAATGTTGCTTAACAACAACGATAGCGGGCCGCGGCGCATATCTAATATTTTTCTATTATCTGAGTGTCGGACTAAATATATTTTTTTGACTGTTGTCATTTAAGCTAACTATTAAACAAATTTATGAGTATATGACTAACTTAAATGATTTAATAAGTATATTTAATAAGTATTAAAATGATTTAAAAAGTGTCCATCGTAAAGAACCTAAAGAAGCAGGGTTGGATAATTTCGGCACGATTCTCACGTCACTATAACTCTACCAAATTTAAAACGTTGCCTATCTCCTTCAAGCGTTTCGGTAGTACAGCTTTTTAATTTTGTCAGACTATTATTTATTAATCATTGTTAAAATCCTGGGATTGTCATCCATTGTGAATGCTACTACTTTTCTTGTTGTTTAGCCGTTTTCCGTGATGTTATTGTTTTATTTTTGTTGTTAAGTTTTGGTAAATATGGACGATGTCGGTACAGGCCCGAGTAGCCTACAAAAATTACGCTCTAGGCCCCCATACCTACCCTCAAACTTTGACATTTCAGGGAGTTTTTTCAATGTCTTCATCAATAGTCTAACTTATTACACTTACAATTAGAATTTATCAAAACACACAGATAGTTTCAGTTTTAGTTCCATGTTGGCTTAGGACTAAAAGATGAATTTATAAAATGCTCGCCACATCTCAACCCCGAGGTATCATAAAAAATGGAAAATTGCCCAGCTCTTTCAGACTACCTAACGTTCAAAGTCTCAACAAAACTAATATAGATTTTTTAATTTTATCTTGAAAATAAAAAGTTCTGCACTGCTGCTTCTATGACCCTCTTTTTTCTAATGTTATAGTGAATGGAGTATAGGTTATTTCATTTGAACTCTATGCTGTGATAGCGTTGTATTCGACGTCCAGTTCAAAGCTGATTTTATTACAGAATAGCACTGCTGATAAAAAAAGGAATCCAATTTAACATGTTTCGTGTATATGTATACTTGCATATTTATTGAATGTCACACAATAATATTAATTAGAACAGGATTATAACATAAGGTTGAGGATAATAAGATAGAGTCTGGCTAATGAAAGTAGACACTGGGTTTATTTGCAAACTTTTGACATGGCAATACTAAATGTCAATATCAAAGTGGTAAGATGGTGGTTCGTTGTCGTTTGTTGTGTTTTATCGTGATCTTGTTTTTGTGATTTACGTACATAAGGATGAATAAAACAATTAAAAGTGGTGTGCGGGAGTTATTGTTCCGTATGATTTCCAAATTTCAAGAACAAAAAGAAGAAAATGATGCTGTTTTTGAAGAAAAACAGGGTTGTTTACGCATAATATTAAATTTTTTTGGTTAGTAAAACAATATTACTTTGATACTTTGTTATGTTTACTTTTTAATTTGAGTTAAAGAAATCATAAACAATTGCGTATTTACCATTTCTACAAGCACATTTATCATATAACGTATTAATATAATTAAAAAAAATAATGAAAGTATATTTATTTACAGAGAATTTGGAGGATGTTGCAGGGGTAAATAAAATAGTTGAAATTATCAAAAAACTTACTGATTTGGAGCAGAAAAACAGATTAACAAATCAAAATCAATACCTAGAAAAAATAGCTTCACTCACTGGTAACTTTACTATTGTAATTTGTATGTACATACATATTTCAAATAATTTTTAATTGTTAGTAAATACAATTTATTTTATTTATTTTTCACAGAGGTTAGTGTAACAACATTAAAACGAATAAAAAAGGAAGGTGCAGTAAATGATGGTGTCTGGAATACTCCAGGAAAAAAACGGCCACACAAACCCACAGTGTCAGAGTTAGATAGTTTTGATGTAGATGCTATTCGCAATAAAATTAATGAATTTTATATTGTGAGAAAACATGTTCCTACATTGAAAACACTTATGCTGGAATTACGGGAAAGTATTCAATTTAATGGATGCCGGGAAACTCTTCGCCGAATATTATTGGCAAATGGCTTTGAATTCAAAAGAAACAAAAGTGAACGTTCATTATTAGTTGAACGCTATGACATATCTGCCTGGAGACACCGTTTTTTAAGGGCCATAGGTATTAAACGTGCAGAAGGGAAACAAATAATTTACTTAGATGAGACCTATGTTCATAAAAACTACAAACCCAAAAAGTCTTGGCAAGGTCCTTCTACAAGTGGTGCGATTGAAAATATTTCAGCAGGAAAAAGGTACATAATTGTACATGCTGGCTCAGAAAGAGGCCCTGTACCAGACTCATTGATAGTTTACAGTTCTAAGTCAAAAATGGCTGACTACCACCATGACATGAATGCTACAAATTTTAATAAATGGCTACAAGAAAAACTTATACCTAATTTGAATGAGCCAAGTATAATAGTTATGGATAACGCTAGCTATCATTCAGTAATTGTAAATAAAGCTCCTACATTACAAAACCGCAAAAATGAAATAAAAGAATGGCTTAGTATAAATAATATTCCATTTGAAGACTACCACACGAAAGCAGAACTGCTATGTTTTGTAAAATTGCACAAACAAGAGCCAATATATGAAGCTGATGAACTTTTAAGGCAGAATGGTCATGAGGTGTTGAGACTTCCTCCTTACCACTGCGACTTAAATGCTATTGAATTGGTATGGAGTTTGGCTAAACGTAAAGTAGCGAGTAAAAATATAGCTCTGTCTGCAGTAGAGTTAGAAAAGGTGATAAAAGAGTCATTTGAAAACATAACACCTGTGGAATGGAAGAAAATGACAGATCATGTTATACATGTGGAGGATAAATACAAAGAAAGAGATTGTATTACAGAAGATAATTTGGAAAGTTTTATTATCAATGTTGGAGATAGTGATTCCAGTGACTCTGATAATGAATCCCTACATATGGAATTCTTAGATTCAGATTTTGATTATGGTGATTAAATATATATTTTCTTAATCAATACAAACATATTTTTTATTTTTTTCTTTCTTACATCTCTCTATACTAATATAAAGCTGAAGAGTTTGTTTGCTTGGTTGAACGCGCTAATCTCAGGAACTACTAGTTTGGATTCAAAATAATCTTTTTGTGTTGCACAGCCCCAGTCATTTATATTACTTGTGTATGTTATACATTATTGTCTTATTAAATAATAATCTTATAAATTATTTATACCTTGTATTTTGCAAAAGTATCAAAATACTTTATTCCAAGAAATGCCTACTGTTTTTAGGGTGGTCATGCTTTTATTTTTTAAATTTGCCGCGCTTTTTCAGTGTCTACTTTCATTAGCCAGACTCTATAATTAAATATCCTTTGTACTTATACAAGGTTGCGAGACTTTATGAAACTTCAGTTCATTCGCATCGTTCTTAAAATAAATGTACTTAAATACTGAGCCAAATTCAAATATTCTTTGTTTCACCGTGACAGTATTTTGATCAATTAATTAAGAAAATCATGAGAAAATCGAAAATAATTCGAGAATCAGGTACAATGTAACTTTTATTGAAGCAATTTTAAACTTGTATATTATTACTAATGGATTTTGAATATAATGTTCCACCAACTGTAATTGAAATTATGTTAAGCCCAGCCATAATACAACATATTTATACAAAAGGAGCTAAAATATTATTTTTCTAATTTTAAGAGTGATTATTTTGGGTGGGGGTTTTTCAAATGTAAAGTTTTATTTTTCATTTCATTATTTTCAATTTATCTCGTCTTGGCAAGTGGTTGTTGCTCTTCAATTGCTAATCCGGTTTTTAAATAATTAAATCGATTCATTCAGTCAAGAGCGTCTTTCCGCGTCGTGGTTTAAAAAGCATGACCAGGCTATACATAGTTATAGCTCGTATGAATTATCATGACTAGAAAAATTTCAAATGAAGATTATCTGTGCATCAGAGGCAGAGTCAAGTTCTACCTCCGTTACATAAGAAATTATCGAAAAATACGTTTCTGAGTCGTTTTAACTAGCATTATGAAAATAGACGAAATATTGGGGGAAAATGTTCTATTTCCTTCAGGTGTCATGTTAGTTATTACGAGTAGTACAATGAGGATTTATCTATCTGCTCATAACAATTAAGATATATGCTTACAAAACTATTTTATTAAGTCTGGTTTCCATGCAGCGATTGCATGACGCAGCCAGAGGCCTTTAGACACACAGAAGATGAGATAATACAACCGGACGCTGTCCACTCCCGATTGAACTTTGTTACCAATGTTTTATATATTTTATTGACAAAAATGTGCGCGATAATAATAAATGTCCTTTACGATAATGTTACACGATTAATTGAAACAAATTGTATAGAAATAAAAGACCGTTTCGTGGGGAAAGTAAATAGTTCGTGTATGATTGTTTAAGCGATACTTTTTCTTCAATTTCTTCTTCGATTGGACCAGAGATCTTGTATTAACAAATGAAATGAGTCCAAATTCTACGGGGTTACATTTAAATTTCTAAAATCCACAAATTCCGCGAGCTCACGTTATTTAATTCCCAAAATCGCCTTTTAATCGCCTACAAATCAAATGAGGCTAAACTTGTTTGTATTGCTTCGTTTGTTACACAATCGACAAATGCACATTAATATGTACACACATAACAAACTCACACCGCCAATCTCTCTTACTTTACATATGTTTAGCCCTTTAGACTACTGCAAGGGCAGTACCAACCATTGGGTGGTTTTGAATGTTGTTCAATATCCTAGAGTTTCAATTTAACGCTCGATTATTCTATTATCTGTAGAAAAGAGGTGCTATAAAAGTTTTATAATAACTCACAATGCATCGTCTCTATTGTTTCAGTTGAGTATGTGGATGCAGAATACAGTCTATGGCTAACATGGTTCCTGACGCCCGTTATTGTGACTTTTTTGCTACCAGCAGTCATCATCGTGTTAATATACATGAGCAGCATCATATTTCATCTCTGCAGGCTGTACAGGTATACTGTGATTTGTTAGTGCGATTAGGTTGTATCGTTATGTAAACGAGTTCGGTATCTTAAGAATTTGATCTGATTGGTTATCTACGAACATACGAGCAACTTATTTCTATGACCAAATGGTTAAGCAAATCTCGTGTGACGGAATCTGAGGATCTTTAGCCGCCCATTAGCCAATCAATTTGAATCGTGATCAGATATAAGTTGGTGATTGATGACAAAAATCAAATTATCTGAATGTGGAATATATGGTCTATTTCAAGACATTACAATCAATCCGACATAAATGTGCCGCCAAATTTATCCTCTGATGATCCTGCCCCCTATTCTGTAACTCTGAGGACAACCGAAAGAAATTGTTCTCAGAGCTCTGTGGGCAAGCGGTCATACGAATAAGTGATTTTGAAACATTGGAATTTTTCACTTTTTACGGTGATTACGATTTTAAAGCTATCAGTTTTAGCGAATAGGTCTGTAAATTGAACATGCGTCATCGAAAGCTTACAGCAATGCATGGGAAGAGACTCGTAGGATCGGTGAATTTGAACTCCTGGCGACGGTCATTATACGATCGTAAGCCAAATTTGTACGAGGTCTCCTAAAGGTTAGCAGATTCGGTTTAAGATTATAGCTGACAGAAAGTCATTTATACTGTAATAACTCATTAAATATTAGATTTTTTATTAGTAACTAGCTGCCCCGCGAACTTCATACCGCCATATTTTATTTATTCAGTCGCGACTGAAGTATTTTAATTATATTTTTTCTTAAATACAAACTGCTGACCTAACACTAAGGTTATTGAGTTGAAAATTCAGCTGACTCCCTGAAGGGGAACGATCAGTCAGATCGGATGGGGGTTTGATCTGAAGGGTCGGGGTATGGAGGGCGAGGAGGGGAGCTATCACGTATCACCAGAAGGGTGCTACGCGATGCCCCTTACATTGTATGGCCGTTACCCTGAGGGGATAGCGATCGTGGTGGACAGAGATGGGGGGTATCTGCCTGCTGGGGCTCCAGGTGGAGATCCAGGTCGGCAGAAAGTTTGGCCGATCCGTAGGACCTAATTGGAGAAAGATTTTGCACTCCTTGCGATTTGTAGAGGACTGTAGGGTCGGCGTGGGCGAATACGGTAGAGGTGTACGTCAACACCAGACATTTGCAGACCTTGTAAAGCGATCGCTTATTTTAAGTGACATTTTATTCCGTCGGCCCAAAATAGGGCTGAGTCAAAATAGATAACAGAGACAGACAGATGCGGCGGGGGACTTTGTTTTATAATTGTAGTGATTTTCTATTTATAACATTTCTTTGATTTACAGATTACGAGTGGTGGACGGTGTTCAAAACGATTGGAAACACGCAGCACGATTAGCAGTATGTGCGTTATGGGACGCTCATGGCTGGCTATGGCATGGTAAGATTTGCTTAAAATCAAAGTTTCAAAAATCCAATACAATAGGCAAGGACTTGCCTGTCTGTCAAAATGGCGTTGCTCTAACTTCATCCCATAAAACAAGATGAACAAACAACAAACACATGAAAAGAAAGAACGTAACAATCACGACCGACTCTTGGTCGGTGTAACAGTTTTTCAACGCCATTTCGTAATTTTAAGAAGTATTAGGTAGAGTCAAGCTTATGGGTATTTTTCCTCTGATACATCTAAAAGTCGATTGATTTTTTTTGTACATATTTGACTGGGCTATACGAAGGCAAAAAGTACGACAACGCCATATGCGATTAACTTTGCCGATTATCGGCCAATTACCGGTTATCCCCTTTATTATCGAATCGAAATTGATTTGCCTTAGGTATTCAAACACGTCAAACTCTTAAGGTAAACTAGTTTTCTCTCTAAAATTGATTTTCCATTCACAGGTTATGAAATTCGCGGCTTAGAAAACATCCCAGACGGACCATTCCTAATAATCTATTACCACGGTGCGTTACCAATCGACATGTACTACTTCACCGCACGTATGCTGCTCTTCAAACGAAGACATATACACACTGTGGCTGATCGTTTCATGTTCAAGATACCTGGTGAGATTAATACGTACTCAACGTCCTAGATCAGTGTTTCTCAATGTGTGCTCTGCAGAATCCTAAGACTGCAATAGTAGATTGCAGCCCACAAAAATATTGATCATATTTAAAACAGGGCAATAGAGTCTTCAAAAAAAGATTGTGGTCACAGGCACCCGAAAACGGGTCATATACGAGTCGTCGTATAAATTCCTGCTCAAAATATCTTCCTTGCAATCGTGCAAAGGAAGTGTTATCCAAAATATATGATGCCGTGATCCAGTTTTTGTATAGTGAATAAAGTTGTACGTGGACAATAAAAGTTTGATGTCACGACTTCATTTGGGTTGTGAGCTTGCGCATTGTGCTCATAATGGTGACTCCGACCTTGATTTCATGATCCACAGTAACATAATTGAATATAAACTTAATATTTTAAATTTACAGAGTAACAGAGTCACAATTTAATCAAAATTGTAATAAAATATTAATGTAATTTATAATTGGTTTCCCAAAAAAATAAGAAAACTGGTCTAGTCTGTTAACAGACACTCGTGACACGCTATTTAATTGAAGATCTCTAGTTGTTGGACTCCGAAAGTGGGTAATATATAATATACAAGTTCCAAATATGATAAAATTCAATTTACAAGGAATGGAACCAAAACTAAATACGAGCTAAAAAAAAATATCGTTGTGCATTCTAGACGCTTTCCAGACTGCCACCGTTTAGTCGGTTGTCAGCTTATATAGACGCCATCTTGCGCGTGGTCGCCGTTGAATGCAGCAAGATGGTGTCATTAGCGCTCACTTTTTATCAAATCATATTTATTTAAGTTTATTTAATTGCTAACACTATGTTTTTCTTTTACTAGGTTGGTCAACCCTTCTAGAAGGTTTGTGCGTTATACCAGGCACCGTGCAGACATGCGCGGGGGTACTTCGCAGCGGGAACCCATTGGCTATATCTCCGGGGGGTGTTTATGAAGCTCAGTTTGGCGACCACATGTATAGTTTGCACTGGAAATCGCGAATAGGTTTCGCTAAAGTCGCCCAAGAGGCCAAAGTGGTAAGTCATCTAAAATAGTGATTCCCAAAGTTGGTTGGGCTCCGACCCATCTATCAAAACTTTACAATCTCGGGAACTACCTTAGTTGTGTTAACTAATATTACAAAATTAAGGATTTGTTTATTTTAAAATTTTCCTCATCTACGGGAAATCTATAATTGCGCGGTGCAAATCTGACGGAAAATCTGTCAAGCGTCTCACGGAAGTATGCGTTAGTACGCGACTGATAATCGGTCAATTGTACAAGATTAATGTCACATCATAAATATTCCTCAGTTTTGACGTTACGCAAACTGACGATACGGCTAGCGTTTGCCATCATATAAACATCGACTCTTAAATACATGATCTTAATTATAACCTTTATTTTCTAGCCCATAGTGCCGATGTTTACGCAAAACGTGCGCGAAGCATTCCGCACAGTCGGTTGGTTACGTGGTGTATGTTTGCGTATATATGCTGCCACGAGGGTACCTCTAGCGCCTGTCTACGGGGGATTCCCCGTAAAACTGATAACGCACATTGGCGCTCCTATACCACACGACCCAGCGTTAACTCCACAACAATTACAGAAAAAGGTACGACTTTATATAACTACAAAACAAAGAGTATGTGTTTAGGGTTAATGTTTGTATGTGAATTTCTTTAATCCGATATAATTTTTTAAATTGTTCAATGGGTTTGAATGTTTGCGATATCAATAGAACGAATCATTGCCATTTTATGTCGTCAGATTGCCGCAGTAGCATATGTAGTAAGCGATTTTTTTAAAACTTCAATGTCATTCACAGTTCAGTGGCCAAGGTGTAAATTAATCGTAAGCATAGTAGAAATTTCATATTTTTTAAATTACAACTGTAAAAATTGTAATTTTGTCCAATAATCCATTATTGTTACATATTTGGATGTAAAAAGGAAAGTAAACATTCATTTCCATAAGAAAAATGTCCCAAAAATTTGTTTGTTTACTACATGTGCTAATGCTGCCAACTACGCCGAACTTTGCGTAATTTTCCTTATTGCAAACATACCCTGATATATGGTCTGTTCTTGAATATCAGCCAGCCATCAGATTAGCAGAGCAATGAGGTCTTCTTTCATCTAATGTGGTCCATTGCGCTTAACTGCCGTTTTAAATAAGCTTAACGTGACATATTAAACTTGGCTTATTCTATGATTGGCCTATGCTAAAATCTCATAATCTCATTGATTGCATGCCGAACGCTGTAACTATTGCTCCATCGCGATTCCTAAATATATAGCAACAAAAGCGTAAATATGAATATCAACCTAAATATATTTGTATATTTGGATGATATCATTATCGTTCCATTCCCGAATGAGTAACATCGTACTGTACTAGCATAACGTTGATTAGAAATATTTTAATTATCGTTTAATTATTTTGTACTATGCCAATAACTTTCATGCACAAATAATGTATGGATGTACAAATTGCACTATTTAAATGACATAAACAGTAGTAGCAAAACTTTTGTTACAAATGCATTGATTAAAATATAAATTATATTACTTAGCCTTACTATTATAACTTTAAAATTAAAAAGTCAAATTAGTAAAAAAACAAAAACAAAACAGCATGTATTGAAGTATTTATTTCAGTTACATTTATACAGTGACAATTATATACACAGGTCGCCGGCGCCATAGAAAATCTTATCGAAGAACACCAAAGGTTACCAGGGAGTATTCTGCTGGCACTCATGGAGCGATTTTACGAGATACCCAAGAGGAGAAAATTGAGTGAGAAAACTCACGAGACCAACGGCAAATGCCACAACGGCACAGTGAAAGAGAGAGACGCGAATAGTTTAAGTGATAAACGTGACAGTGATAAAGCGACAGTCTCATAACGTCCGCTTGAAAACAGTTTGAATAAATTAAGGACTTTGAAATAGTTTCGAATTCGGGATAGACTTTGCGATTTTCTTTTTCCGTTGCATCATGGAAAGCATGTAGGATGAATATACAAATTATAGTTAAGGGTACCCTTAACTGGTAATTAATTAAAATTATAAATAATTAGTAGTTAAGGGTACTCTGTGTTATAGTATAAGTCCATAAAGGTGGCACTTTGTTGAGACGGAGAGATGCGATATTAAAAATAACCAAAAGATTTCATTCATGTTGAAGTTACAGTACTTAAGCGGAGAAGACGTGACTGTAGGCCTATTCAGTAGAAAAATCATGCGATTGTGATAAATAGCTATAGGCATGCAAACTGGCTTTAGGGTGTTGTCATCTCTGAAGTCTCGGTTTAAATTTCCGGTAGGGTGAATGTAGAAAATGAACTTTTCTACATCGTGTCGGGTCTGCGTGTTGCGTTACCTTCGTTTTTTTAAGTCTTCGTATATACTCGTTCCTTTTGTTGTGTTTAGTTTTTTATTTGGGATATATTTGTCTGAACATTTCTGAAAATACGCTCACCAGTAGCCAAAAGTAACAAGTGCTTGAGAAATTCGTCAGTCCTGTTGGTGGTTAGTGGTTAGAGCAGTCGCCCGGATTGCGAAAGGCGTGGGTTCGAGTATACTTCGAGTAACTGAGGCTGGTAGATTTTTTAAGCATCTATTGTTAAAAGATGTATTTTTTTCTCTCCGCCTCGACGGAATTTTATTGCGGACAAAGTGACACTCCCCTAAGTCTCATAGGTCGCTTACAAAGTATTTTGATGATTTATTTTGTATACAATATTTATATCAACAAGTGAGATTGCAATGCATTTAAAAATTTAAAAAGACATTTTGGTTTTAAAAAGTACGTAGTACAAAATTTTAATATACATTTATATGAAACGAAATTACAGAATTGTAATAAAAATAATCATAAATCTATTTAGGAATCATTCGAATGAATATCTTTATGCCGTGTGTGTACATAATTGATATATGAAATACTCTCGATTTAATTATATTTATTCGTATAGACGTTTTATTGGCGTTAAACTGATTAAGTTCGTAATTTAGTTTATTTTTACAGCGATAAACTAACAGTCATAAAGATGGTACAAATATTAAGAAATATCTCTTCGGAGTATCTTTTATTTTATTAATTAATGAACAACTTTTTAAATCAGATACTAGACTTGATTCTGTAATAAAAATTGACCTAGTTTATCATATAGATAGTTATTATTAGTTGTAATGTTTTCCAATTTAACATTACAACTAATTAAACATTACTACTTATAATTTTCTTCTCTAATCACGTTTTTAATAAGCCCATTTCCAATATGTGGGCTAATTGTTTAATTTAAAAATGTAGTTCGATCACTTTCAAAGGTATATTTTTTGTTTGTCCGTTCGTCGGATGATTAAAGAATATTAAACACGTTATTTATTTGATTTCTTACGGTTTCAATTAATTACGGCGAATTTTGTGTTGCACAGTCGCATGTCGTCACACTTTGTACGTTTTCTACATAGTTGTGACGTAGTGAGCCCCCATTCCTCAACTTTAATAACTATTATCTAAGCCATTTCTTGTCACATTCAATTTGAAAAAAAAAAAGAAAACAAAAACGCATCTAATATTCTTTTATTATCTGTTTGACGGATTAAATCAGTCACTAAGTAAGGACTAAGTCAGATTACAGTTAGCGTAACGTGAAAACTATTATGAAACGTCAAACGAAAGAGTTGATCGTTTGACGTTTCATAATAGTTATTAAAGATATTTGCATTTAACGATTGCCTTAGACGAAGTAACGTCAAATTAACGATACGTTCATTCAATATCTTCCAAAAAACATCACGATCGTAGTCGCTGTCACATGTCAAATATATGTGGCGTGAAGTTCGTGAATGTCTTTAAAATGTCGAATTGAAATTGATTTTAAAATTAGACAATTAGCCCCCTTAAGTCCGCGACACGATAATCGCGATTTGTAATAGGATTGCAACGTAAAAACGCATCGAAAGTATATATTTCAATCGGTGTACGTATTTCATCGGCTTTAGCGTGCTATCTTCTGCGCAGACGGATTGTGTTAATATAAACCATAGTTTTACAATTACAATTTAGTTTTAATGTTTGGTTAAGTTGGAACAAAAGATGGATTTACTTTTCGGATTGCGACTTACTTTAAACTAAGAACACGCCATTTTATTTAATAATTAGTTACGATTGTTTAATATATGGTAAGTTGAACAAACGTACATTAGGATATATGACGTCATTAAGCTGTAATGAATGTATAATTTGCATGGGTAACGTCGTTTAAAAAAAAACACTTTAATGGGCGTTTGTGCAACTGGCTGATTATGTATTTTAATGCCTCGATGTACTCAAACTAACGACACGAATTTAAAAGAGATAATATTATACACATATTGGTCACTTCTTATTTATTATTTAAATCGAATTGTTTTTAATGTAGTTGACAGATTAATTGGAAAGTTTCTTTTTTTATGTTTAAGTTATAGATTCATATACATCTGTTGGTGTATAGAATTATTTATTTGATATAAGGTAGCAGCGCCTATAATGACCTACTGTTAAGCCCTCGTGCGCTCAAAAGCAAATATCAAATATAATAAACGATTACAGTTTTGCTAACATTTAAAGTAGGAATAAAGGATTTATTCTAAGACTTTATTTACGATACGAACGTATTTAGTTGTTTTGTTTACAATTGTGAACTCAATTGTGGTTCATCATAGGCGCCAGTACCTTATAAATATAGAAATAGAAACTAGCGATCGACTGAATGAATACGAATGGAAAATAATTATAATTTTATTTTAGTGTGATTGTGTAAAAAAATATTTGATACATTGACTTGTAAGATTGCACTTAAAACATGGAAAGGTATGGTAATCTTTTTAAGATTTGTAAACAGCACAGGGATAACTAAATGTAGGTATTTATAGTCCCCTAGTTTTAAGTTTCGTAATGACTTAAGAGTTTCAGTGTGTTTCATTAACGTACCTTTGTTTATTTTTATTTTTTTTATAATTCAAGCATTATGAAAGCACCCAGACTTCATTTATTATACAAGTTAATCCGGAATGTTTGTAATTTTCGGTAATGAGTACCTATTCATTGGGAAAGCTTGTTTTGTGAAATTAAACTAATCTAAATTAACACGTCATAACACATCTAAAGTAACAAGACAAACCGTGAAGTGACGTCGCGTTATCGGCCACAGCGTAATAGGCCGCTTCATGCGACAGCCTTGGGTCTACGATTTTTTATAAGGGGCGCCCGGGGCAAAGGCCATGCAATGAACGTGTTAAATACTTTGAATTTAAGAAAAGTAAGTTAAGGTTCTAGCTACCCCTTCAAACTGCTTCATGTAAATGTTTGCCCAAGCTAGCGATTATGTACAAAAACACATATCAGATTACCTATTACCAAAACTTCTTTATAACGATATTAAATGACTTTGCGAGCCACAATATCGGTGGATTTGGTTAGAGTCTGTGCACATCTAACGGAAAATATGTCGCGGAACGTCAGCAATGACAAAAATATGAAATAATTCGACGATCCGACGCGTATTAACGAATAACTTACGTTACGGTTGACGGATCTTACGTCAGATTTGCACCGATTTTAAGACTAGATGTACACTGGTGACGTTTTGTCATCGTGACTTATTGTTTCTGTCACATGCTCCTGTCGTTTGCTTACCACCAGCTTTACAAAAACATAATTTACAAATCTCCCTGCCCACCAGATGAAAAGATGCTAAGATATTGTTCTATTTTAAGAAAAACTAATCTAAATTATCACTAATGCTGTAACCTTTAAAAAAAACATGTGACACGTCAATCAATGTATGGAAAGTGTGCATGATTCTTTATTATATTATGCGTCATAATATCTTCATGATGGATGATTTGGAAATATCAGATACCCATTTTGTTCTATGCTTTTAGGGCCAAGCAAAAGCTAGTATGTATTATATCTATAGTACAAATACGGAAATTATGTTCTCACTTCGACCTATTACATCACGTTCCATAAAACCATGATTCCATCGACCAGTGTGAATCTGCATAAGACAAGTTCGATAAAGCAAAAGATGTTTTTATTAGACTCGATATAAATTTTTACAATTTTCATAATCTCAAATATGATCTTACATTGTTGCATCGAGTAATGTATTTATATTAAACATGATTACAGGAGTCAGGACCACTTTTTGCTAGAGCGAAAAAGATAGTATTGCCTATCGCCTCGAGGATTTGGCGGCGTACTAGCCTCTTTTCTATCTTTCTCACTTTGACATATGAACGTTCTGAGAAACAGAAAAGGATACGGCGTTAGGAAAAGGTTCTTCTTGTCAGATGTAGCTCAATAGGGTCACAAGTGTCAATAACCTTGTTATATTTAAATTCATTCCGTTATATTATAAAATGAGGACTAAAATCAGTACTCAGTTTAAACCATCGACCGCCTAAAGCAAATTAACAGTGACAGAAGAGAAAACGTCAAATTGAGTCGCGTTGACATATTTTGTTCGTATAATGATTTAAACCTGGTACTAAAGTGAATTTTCGTTTTATAATAAGAATGATTTAGTTTTAATTTATTTTGCGATCTGCCTTGTAATTATGAGACCTTATCAGTCTAGGTATTTTTATTTAACTACTTAAATTAACAATTGATACTTATTAATAATATGTAATGTTGTTTGTCGTGAAGAGCAAAATATTGAAAGTATAAATAAGAATATAATTTATATAAATTAAACAAAGAATGGAATAAAAGTCAATATATTTTCATTTAAAAAGTCCTTATGTATTAAATTACAAAAATTATTCGCTTAACAATTAAATATTATCTATATATCTCACTTAAACAATAATCAGTACAGTCACATGTTCTCTAAACCGATATTTTATATAAAAAAATCCTATTGGTATTAAAAAGGAAAAAAATCGAGTTGATTAAATTATAATATATCTATGACCTATGAGCCATATGAGTGCTTTAAAAGCTCTCCGGTAAGCTGACAAAATTATGTTCGCGTATATGAACATTTTAAAATTACACAGAATTTCCGAAGTAGGACAATTCATAAAACAAAATGGCGATAATCGGACTCGGTTTATTCATTTTGTGATCTCCTAACACTGAAACCCTATTAACTCCGATGAGAATTTACGAGGGATAATTCACAGAATAGTTTGGTACCTTTAAAATTAAGGCTGAATTTTTAACACTTTTACTGTCTTATCTACGGATTTTACTTAAAGAGTCTTAAGTTTAGGTAGTTCATGTACAAAGAACCAACTCTATTCCTTCGAAAGCAAAATTTCGAAACTATGATAAGACTCCATAAAAACGTCTCTTTCGAAAATTTAATGCAATGGGACTTGGCCTGGTACCTAATGCCTCTGATGCGTAGACAATCTATTCGGGTATGATTTTAACAAAATTACAAGACATTTTGAAATTTCCTTCCCCCGTTTCGATTGGGTTTGGTTTGGGTGATTGGTTAGCCGACTTTTTATAGTATTGCATAAATATGTATTTGAAATAATATATAATTAAAGGTGTTATAAAAATATTTATTGTGGTCTCTTTAGTTGGTAAGTGTCAGAAGGACACCCTACAAAATATCTAGACACATACCGCTGTAAGGAGAAATTAACAACAAACGTCCGAATATCGCTATCCAGTTTGCTATTTTCAAACGAATAAGGGCTGAAATTGCCTGACTACTCAAATGTTTGTTTGGACTGTCTGTTCAAATATGTATGAATAAAAACCATGAGCTTATTAAAGTCACTCGATGAATCATTAATTCTTCATTTTCTCTTCATGTTTAGTTTTAAATGCTTTAAAACTGAATTATATAATCCAATGTCAGTTGTATTGAAAAAATATCAACTCACATAAACATATCAGGTACAAAGAGACATTAATCATGTGTCGTCAGGTTACCTACCACGAAGTATCAAAAATGACCGACCAATTTCGAACTTTAACAATAACATATTAAGGTTGAAATTAGGTCGCATTTTGATATTTTCATATAACCTAATGCTGTCATCCTTAAAGTACTATCAATATAGTTATGTATCTTTCATAATAAATACATAATTCAAAGTATAATATCTCTAAAATTCACGAAACATCGCTGTTCAAATCGGTGAAACAACAACAAGAAAATTCAATTACATATAATACAACTGCCAAAAAGAAAATGATAGGAACAAGAAACACTTATTATTAATAATAAACATGAGATTCAAAGTTTAATTCAGCAACTCTGGAAACAATACCAATATATAGTCATTATTACATTTTAAATCTCTATTCTGAAAGAATTAATTAAAGAATTGATTGTATTGGAAATCGTAGTTTCCTTTAAGGAGGTAGATTGTGGAATCGGAAAAAAGATTCAATCGATAAGAATCGAATAAACAGAGGGTACAATATTTTGACCATTAAACATTGATTTCAAAATATTTAACAGCAGTTTTGATGTAATACAATATTTAAATACACGCTGTATTCATTTCTAATGCATAGAAGCATAGTCTTTTTAGAGCGAAATAGCTTGCAAAGTTGTTCCACAGGTGACAGTAGAGAGTTAATAGATACAACTGGTGTACTCTTAAAATCAACGTTCCGATGTTGCAGACCCTTGCTCTAGAGTCTAGAGCATTAAAACACGTTAGTCAAAGTAGAATAGGTGGCAGGTTTATGAATCCATCTAATGTAGATTTTAAGAGTACTCCCCAGGCGATGAAAGCTATCTCGCTCTAACTTCAATAGGATGAATTAAGTCAGCTTTAGCCGTCTTTTTTCCTCTATACATTAAGGATTTTGGCATAAAACTTAAGTCTTATTTTACATTTACAATTTTTGATAAACGGATACTAATCAACGGCAGGTTGGTGTCTCTTGACAGAAACTTGACATTTAAAACCCTGCGATAGTCTAACTAAATAATATGCCTACGGTTCGTATGGCAAAAAATGGCATTTTCACGGAAAATTGAAACGGATTATGAAAAAATATATTTTTTAATATAATAATGATTCTTACTCATTTTATTTTTGGCAGATGTTGATATAAAAACAAAATTTATAATTAATTATTATAGGAAATCGTTGTAGCTGTTAACGTCGTCGAACTGTTGCGTTGAGGGGGGGCGAGGTCCGCCACCGCCAGGTCTATATTGTGGCTGCTGTAATAACAATATTATATTATCGGATATTTTTCAAACTGAATACAATCAACAGCACGTCAGGCTAATTTGATCGATGTGAAAGTGTCTTCGGTTTTTTCGAAGCGCTTATAATTTCAAAATAAAGAACTGAGAATCCCTCTACGAGACGGGTTAAAGAGGGAAATGCTCAGTTGCGAATTTCTTACCCTTGACAGGGGGCAGTCTGGTGGGTTTGTGCGCTCACCGGGCATTGCACGCCCCTTGTCTTGTCTGAAGAATTAGACTCGTATGTTCCGGAGCCTTTTCCCCAACCCGTGGTGGGATCCGCCCTGTAAAGGGGTGGGCCAAATCTCGGGCGATTGCGCGGGATATTGCCCCATTTGGGGCCGTTAACTTGCGTAGTCTGGGTCGTGAGGGACATCGGTGGGTTTTAGTTGGTATGCCCTTGCCTATGACTAGCCCTCATTCTGGGGGTGGGTCCGCAGGGAAAAGTCCCATATAACTCGTGGAGCTCGAGCTAAGTGAAGCGAGTATGCACAACGCATTTCCCTCCGTCAAAAATAAAGTGTGGGCCAGACCTGGGGCCCCCAAAGTGGATGTTATTAGGTAGGCCAATCACGCTTCAACCGATCCTTACAGGACAGCGGTTGGAGAGCCCTGGTTTAGGACTCAAGGTGCATTTCCTCGTCGTTATAAAAAAAAGATTGGACAGACTTGAATGCATGCTGACAGTTGATCTGTCAAGCTGACAGATCATCCAGTCCTTCATTGTGACCGGTGAGTCAGGGCTTCCATAGGTGTTAGAATCGTAGATTAATACAAAATCTTTTTCTGTAATCAATTTTGAATCTAACCATCGCCAGATTAACGATCAGTTGCACAAATGTCAAGGTTTAATGACGCCTTTAAGCTCTAGTGAGTGTAAAATATGTATCGGTAATATCGCTTTAAAGTAATTACAATTTTATTGGCCGTTCGTGCAACTGGCTGTAAAACTTCACATCGATTGAAAATATTTGACCTTTCGGTAGCCTGACGTGCAATCAAAATTATACGCCATCTATTTATATATATCGTCAACTCGTCGTTAATTTTAAATTCAAGAAAAAGTGTTAGTTACATAATTCAAAACGAGACCATTACCACTACTAAACATGCAGAAGATGAAGCTAAAATGTTTTGCTGTTATGCAATATTATACTGTAAAAAAGTTTTATATATAGTACATAAAATAAAACGAATGGAGTTGATACTACTTATACACGTTTATTCGCCAATAAGGACGTCGACTACTTTGGAAAAGGGTTTTAAATCGTGCACAAAAATTTAACTTAATATGCGATTTGTTGGATAATAAAAAAAATAGGTACAGGTTTCGTATACTATGTGTAAGGGAGAGAAATCATGTAGGCACAGCTTTTTGTAGAGCAAACTTAGATGTAATTTCATTGCTTCGCCTTCAGTATTTCATTATGAATGCCAACTTTAATAAATATAATAAAATTGTGTAATTACTTAAAAAATATAGCTTTTTATTCCTCTCAGAAAATCGCAGTCAACATCCTTATTGGAGTAAAATTTAAAAAAAAAATATATGTTTCAAAATTATTACAAAAATATATCTGACCTTGAACATAACAACATAACATTTGCTATATTAAACTTTATATAATGCCATTTCAATATAACATCTATAAACCGCAGATGAAATATAAAAAGCTACCAGTATAGGTCAAGCCAAGCACGACTCCTGATCACCAAATGAAAATGGAATGTAATATATAGTAAGATAAGTCAAGTCGAGCCATATGACATCAGTACAATATCGCCGCTCTCTTGGATTTGAAAATGAATAACGGCAGATATGAATGTGAGATTTGGTACCTTAACGTAGTGAGGTGTATGTGAGACTGGCGTGGTAAATACACGCTTGATGTGGAAAACTTAAATATTTAATAACCATTAAAAAAATGAGGTTTTAAAGGGCCTCGAAGATATATTTAAAAATGTTTATTATAGCCAAATAACACTGCTTCATTGACGGTCATTTATTTATATTTTAAAAGAGTTCTGGCTGCGACGCTATCGTCAGCACAGCAGCGCCTCAAAGATTAAGTAAGAACATTGGCAGTTTTCCCTTTTTCGCCATCTACGATCTTTCGATTAATTAGGGACTCAGTCAAGCAATATTTAAAAAATCAGAGGAAGATGATGTTGAGCTAAAAACTATAATGAGGGAAACATCATGATAATATAAGTTATGATTATGACGTATCATTTATGACCGAAACTGAGAAGCCATTATTTCTCCAAAATTACACTTATGCACATTCAAATACCCATACCGCTTCGACCTATACCAGTAAATAAGCTCAGTGTGATCACGCCATTTGTAATCAAAATCATCCATAACTTACGTCACTTAATTACAAGAAAGGGGCAGGAATGTATGTCTGAAACTTTCACATTCAACTTTATTACAGTTTAATAAAGTTGAATGTGAAAGTTTAAATTTTCTTGTCCACGAAAATGTATATTTAAAGTCTGTTCAAAAACTTGTTCTGTTTTGACTACCCAGGACTGGAAGGGCTTCAATAATACTTTAATTCGTGTGACGTATTTTACAGATGATATGACCGGCTTTAGCTGTTAGCAATGACATTAAAATATTTAATAGGCTACTTGACTCTTGTTAGAATCTTATCAAAAATGGTTAATTCCTAAGAAAAGCATTCTTGGCTTCGTTTTTTTTACTAATATCTACTATGCGATCCAAATAACAAAAGTAACATCAAAGAGATATCTTGGTTCGCATTGCGCATTAACTTCAGGGTGTAAGGTGTACAAAAAAGGAACTAAATGTTTAGCGAACTTTATTTTCTTTGCTGTCAGTACTAAAACGAGAGCTAAGCCGTGAGGTTGGTAGCTATTCCGACCATATTCATATTTGGCTCGCATTATACATAACTAACTATATATGGATTAACTATTTTTCAATAATTCATAACAAAAATGATATTCTGTTAAAAAGCCATCCTCGAACTCGTTTGCGAACGCTACGCTGTCATAGCATAGAGGTTCAATCAAATAAAAACTACTTCAAAAGGTAAAATTTCAATGCTGTATTTGACGGCGAGTTGGATGCAGTTTTTTTAACAAAACAGCAAAGCTGATGCCACGGATCTGACGCAAATATTTTTTTTTACTGGCATCAGCGTAATGTTTGTTCGATTGGATGTCATTAATGCCGCGGGTAATCAAGACATTCAAAGAGTAAAGTAGCCTATTGTGCAAATAGCTTTTGTTAGCAAAGAAACGTGAATGATTATTACTTGTGCAGGTTCGGGGGCTAGCTGCGAGTCAATTGTGAGGGGGGCGCGGCCCTCGCTGCGCCTGTTGTTGTTGCTGAACGAGAAATCCCCGCACTCGTATAAAGCGAGCCATCACTACTTTATATCGCTGGCTTTATTATAGTATTCAGTATATAAATTTAATCAGTAAGAAGAAAAAACGCGTTTGTTCAAACATTATTCATCGGTCTAATAATGTGCCCACTGCTGGGATCTTCACTAAATATATACAAATAGCATAAAAATGTCGCATCCCGCTGTCTGTACGCTCTTTTAAGATACACAACGGATTTTAAATGCGGTTACAATCATTATACAGAGTACATCAAAAGGATTGTTTCTATGTATGTATAATATAGGAGCGAATGAAGCCGAAGGCTGAAAGTAAGCGGATGGAATAAAACAGAGAATTAGCTGAGAATTAATTAAATTCCACATCGCAGGTTCAGTGCCAGTTAATGGGTATTAACAACAGCATATGTAACTGGGACCAATAGATTAGATTTATAATTAATTTATGGTCACCCATCCTGTGACCAGTTCTTGTGATAATCGCTTCACCTTCTCAAGTAACGTGTCATCTAGTGCGCAATACCGTAACGACAATGCTTTTTTCTTCCTTCTGATCAAAAGAAGATACGAATTTTGACAATGAAGCCAGCGATATATAAACTCAAGCGACGACAGCTCAAGAATTAAAAAGCCAGTGTTGCCAACGCGGATAATGAAAATACTCGCGAAACGAGCAATTTTCACAGCTTTTACGACTAATTAAAGACGAGCACCTCTAGCTGGCAACTCTCAAATCTTTATAATATAACAAATATACATTATATCTATAGACAATTCATTTTACCTTATTTGGAATAATTATTATTTCCAAAAAATTAAAAATATTTTACATGAAAAAATTGATAGGATAACAAACTATAGATATAATCTGGCAGCACTGGTTAAGCGCAAAGGAACAAGCTTAGAATAGTAAAGGTCGCATAGACTCAGCTCATATGATGCCACTTACTTCTTAACTTAACAAAACATTAGGTTTTGTAGTAAATATGTGTAATAAAATATCATTTTTTATAAGTCAAAGCTTTTATTGACATCAACAATAATGCGAGTTCTCTTTCATCTTACGTAACACCTTAACAAGTAAGACCCTGATTTGACGTATACGTCAAATTCGTGTCTTATTTGCTGAGGTTTCAGTGTTTATTACTGTCAATAGGACAGCATTGGTGTTCTATTATAATAAAAAGTGAATATTATTTTACAATGATAAATTCTGCACTGATATTGTTACTGTTTTACTACTGCATAATCATTGCTTTTTCAAAAGAACAATGTCATTTGAATTACACAAAATTACCTGTTATACATTCGGTCTATACAGGTTGTAATGTCACACTACGTCAGCCATAAAACAGGTATATATTTCATTAAAACTGTATAATTCATTTAGAAATGCAAAACATATATGTTATTATATTTCGTGAGTATCAGTCCCACCTCGGGGTACCTGGGGCTGGTCGATATTTCATTAAAAATATTTATAAGTTTAGAATTGTAAATACTAAATTGATTAAATACAATATATGTAATTAAAAAAACACATTATCTTTGATAAAAAAAAATCAAATAAGAACTCTTTACGGTTTTGACTTATAATCTTTTAGAAGTCAAAACCGTGACCATTAAGCCTAGAATATGGTTTCGAATGTGATATAACCGTGATATAATGTGGCATCAAAAAAGCTCAGCCCATACATAGACTGTTCGAAATTTAGTGAGTAAAAGTGTTTGAGCTAAGCGCCGCTAAGTGAGCTAAGTGTTAATAAAGTGAATGAGAAAAAAATAACAGGATTATAATATTGCAATAAGGAAAGCTTATTATTATTACATTCAAACAAATTTCATTTAAACACTGAGACAGATTATACTTTTAATGAACAGTCTGATTACAAATGATAATCTGTAATCAGAGTGGAGCAAAACGTAATCCTGAGTAAAAAATTACATGTAAATCGACCGGTTTAATGAGTCATAGAAATAACAGTAAAAGTAATAGAAATTTTCTTGCATTGAATATGAATTTTATGTCCCAAACATATTTCGACATATCTTGATTTTTTGTTATCTTTTTATTTCTACGTTCGCTAGTGGGTAGCGATTTAATTCATTAAACAATGTTTTTCAATGTAAAGGTAAAATCTTGAATCTTTGGAATTATTTAGGTAGTTTTCAAAGCTACACTTTGTTTTTAGAAGTGGTAGATTACTGGAAGGTCGCTAAAATGTAGAATGTCATTGAAAGTATTCTGTCTCAGGGTTTGTTTCTAGAGGAATTTAACTGATATTATTTACAATTGTTAAGTTCAATTAATATTAATGCACGACGCAATTAATTCTATTTTCTGTGTAAATATTTCTTAATTACAAGCGAAAGGTTTCAAAATAAGTCATCTGATGCTAATTGCTCTCAAATATGAAACTGAGTCAAAGTTTTAAATTGACATCGCTCATCCACCAGGACAATGACGGAATTATATTTTTTCTTTCCTGGAGAAGTAAAAATATCTTTATAGTCCGGTCGCTGAACAGAGATTTCGTACCCGGAATTACATATCGCACACCTAGATCTAAACTAAGACAACTCAAAAAACTAATTTGGAGGTTTTGGAGTCAAGCGAATTAGAAATGGCGAATTTGTTTTGTCGCACAAAAATCAGTAGAAAACGAGCGCTAGAGGCGAGACGAATGATTCAAAAATAGAGCTCCTGATGCATCTAGCCAATTTTGTCATAGTAAAGTAAACCTAAAATGTTTACGATATTTAGCAGTCGGCAAAAGCCAAAGTACGAAATTCTCAGTGTACCAGAGACTGGTGGATTTTTCATTGATAATAATAGTACGAATTTCTTTCTATTCGGCGACATTGCCATAGATAAAATGTTAGTTACATGATTATTAAGTATTATTATGATGTCGTGACATTAACGTTTGTTTAATTTATAAATGAAAGCGCGATGCTATGTGAAGTACCAATATGATAGTATTGCGGGTAGAGTTATAAATATTCGAGCGGTAAATTACATTTATTTTTGTATAAAAGTAAAATGTAATTGAATCATTATGGTATTATTATACCTTTAATAAAAGTCCTAAGATACATATTTTTTTATTAAATTAATCACGCCATTATGGAGTTGGATGAACGATACATTTTTTGATAATTGTGTAATGGCTACTTTACACGTAATTAAGAAGATAAGGTTTTGTTAAACTTTATTTAAGTGATAAATACTCGATTTCTGATACTTTACACGTAATTAAGTAGATAAGTAATTTTTTTAATTCATTTAAATGATTAATACCCGTTTTCTAAATTGGGAATTTAAAGTTAAGCTGGTCTCAAACTGTACTTACCATCTTAAACGTCCCTTAAATGGGTATTCGTTTCTCACTATAGTTTCTTTAATGATTAGTAAATAGCAGTTTGATAAAAAAATTTGCCTTGTATAACGTAAAAAACTTAAGTTATTGAGAATAATAAGTTGAGATTTTGTACTTTTCTAAATTCAGAAACCGCCTCTAAGTAGTGTAATGAAAAAAAATAATTCTAATTAAGGTTATATGTAACTAATTAAATTTCAACATGCTACTTATAACTTATTAGTATATCTACACGTATGTACTGAATCGCTTAAAGTTAAATTAAAAATCTTATTAATACTTATCTACTCAATTCCGTGTAAACCAGTAAAAAAGGAGTGCGAGTTTTATATACCACTTACCTGTTGCAGTAAATGTCGCAGGCCAGGATTGGAGGGTAGGAGCGGCCGCATGAGCGGTCTGGTGCCGTGCGCCGCGTGCGCTGCGTGCGCCGCGTGCGTGCCGTGCGCCGCGTGCGCAGCGTGCGTGGCCGCGCCGCCGCGCAACTGTTGCTGTAACTGTTGCTGAATCTGATGCTTGCGTTGCTCCTATATCATCATCATCATCATCAGACTGTTAACGGCACAACTGGTGAGGCACAGGCCTTCCCTATGGATGCAACCGAATAGGGAGAGTGGGCCGTGACCGGTGCGGATTGATGGGTGTTAACGTGATTAGAAGCAGCCGTGACGGACGGATTAACGTGTCAACTATAAGATTTATATAAATGATAACGTTCAGGCGTTCACGGCATAATAACATATTTTGAGGAACAAGACGGGGCGGGTGGCAACCGAAGAAATGTGAACGCAACTTCATTTATTTATTACTTATGTCTGAACGCATCCATAACCTGTGTATAGGAAGTAGCTAGTTTCCTTGTTCCTTCCTTTTGAAAACCTCAAGCTTGTAATACATGTGTTCATTAACAAAATCAACCATATGCGTCTGTATAACGACCTATTCCGCAGTTGATTGCGAAACCGTGGTGACAAGGACGCAGCTATTAATCGTGCTAATAATAGAGCGAGACAAAGGATATACAACTGACACGATTACGCAAATGTTTCACCTTCGCATGCGATTGCGTCGTTGCAATGACGGCGTTAATGACACAACTGATAAGGCACAGGCCTTCTCTATGGATGCCAGGCTTACGGCTAATTCAAATACGAAGTATCAAAATTTACTAAATAATGTACGTAATATTATTAATGTTAAATCTATACTAATACTTGTGGATACGGCGAACTTTGTTCCGCTCAAAAATTTGAATGTAAAAATTTATAAACTTCTTGGTTCCGCCAAACAGACAATGAAAGAGCACATTTAAGATTTAGCTACAATTTAAAATAAATCATGGACATAGACAAAATTACGTGAACTGTCAGTTACGTTTTCTTATGACATATCAGTATTAACATTAATTTTTATAACTATTATTATTGTTGATAAGATACAATATTTAATACTTATTATCCTATTCAACAAAAATGTCATTAACTAACGCTCCAGCCGTTCTCCAGTCATAAATAGTATAACTAACACGACTTTCTTCTTTAAATAAATATTATAAAGCTGAGGCTTTTTCGTTTAAATGAAGCTCATCTGAGGAACATAACATCATGCTATGATCAATAGAGAAGGTTACCATCAATCACCTCTTATAACAATGTTTAATCCGTGCAGCGAGCCAGACAGCCCGCTACAAGACAATAGTTGTGTCCTGCTCCTTGGTCTTGTATACGAGCTAGTTCCCACATTTCCCGTTCCATAGTTCGTTAGTTAGTGACAGAATGTGTAAGGGTGAAGTCGACCGAACTAATGTAGACCCGTTAAAAGTATATAGGAGAAAAATATAAATTATATTATTCACTGCCTAAACAAATAAACCTAGTTATTTACATAAAAAAAACATATATTTGATGAATATACATTTTATGATTATTAGTTCATATGTTTATTTATGTTAATTTAGTGTCCAAAATTTTGAACTTTTACAGTGTTCTATAATCTAGTAGCAACAGAAGCTATTAAACCGAGTGAACAAACTGCCTTAAGCGAAAATATAGGAATCTACACGAGTCACGGACTAAAGAACTAAAAGAGAAAAATAATTTGTTTAGGTGCCACGAACTAACTCGCGAAAATATAGGAATCTACACGAGTCACGGACTAAAGAACTAAAAGAGAAAAATAATTTGTTTAGGTGCCACGAACTAACTCGTTCGATCTATTACATCCAAGCTCGCTGCACGCATTAAGTATTGCTATAAGAGCTCATGGTTGACCCCTGCAATGAAAACTGTTACAAATTCTGGAAAACTACGCGGGCGATAGCTAGTAATAAAAAATAGATACCTCAAGTTGTTTATAGTGCTGCTCCTGTTGCTGTGCCGCGTGCAGATGCGTCATGATATCCATCTGGGATTTGAACTGCTGCTGATGAGCAGCCTCTAGGGTTTGCTGCAAATGCTGGATCTTCTCAAGGTTCTGTTGCCTGGCGGCTTCCAAGCCGTCCAGTTGGGTCACAGGGCGGGGGCCTTTACCACCCACTTGGGGAACTTGCCCACCCATCCCGGTGTTTATCATCATGCCCTGGAAAAATTTATTACCTTGAAATTCTCTATTTAAATTATTTATTTATACATATACAAATAGGTCCCCCCCCCCCCAATGCATATATAAACGTTTGTTAATTTATCCATGTGAAAACTACTCCTTATCGACAAAGTAAATCTATAATGATACTTTTATTTTATCTTAAAGGCACCCTCATGGTTACAATTCCACACAAAGAAAGATGTGGACAGAAAATATTGACTTAACATCTATGTTTTACTTTTCTATTGGACTTCTCGATATATAAAAAAAACAGCGAGAAAAAGTAGCCGTTGCCGAGTTTCTTGTCGGTTCTGCTCAGCAGGGCGATATCATAAAAATCTGAACCCGATTCCACTTAACCGTGAATTGTTATTACGTTTCGTGACATAAGTAAATGTCATAGGGACAGAATATATCAGACACATATGAATCAATCGATTGTTTTGTATTTATATCCAAAAAATGGAATCAATAGAATTTCTACACGGATTAAACGTTAGTTCATCGGATTCGCAAAGTGAATTCGAATTTGGGTTTGGATTTTCACGTAATCGCTCTGCAGTACAAGGCAACAAATTTTACAACGCGAGGCTGTAGAATTGTAAGCGGATGGCATATCTTACGACATTCATAAGTGCTTGTAACAGTGTACATAAAATAAAAGATATTGAACAATGTAATTTTATCTTCAAATATGATAAATCACAAAGACAAAAATATTCGCTACTTAAAACAATATTTTTTTTATTATGAAGTAAAAAAATTGCAAATTACCTGTGGATGCGGCAACCCTTGCCCAGCCGCTGCCTGCATTTGTCCCACTTGTGGCATCCCAGCGGCGAGTCCACTGCCGCCGGGCATACTACCGGCTTGCATGCCAGTAGCTTGCATACCGCCCGGTTGCATACTTGTGCCGGGCATACTAGCTGCTTGCATGCTAGTGCCTGGCATGCTAGTGCCCGGCATCGATGTCCCCGCCATACTAGTTCCCGCCCCCATGTTCGCTTGAGACATTCCCGCTGCCGGGAGTGCTCCTGTAGCTGACAAATTCAGTAAAGTCAATCAATACCGGGCGAAGACAGTAAACGAAAATCACAATATTATGCTTATTATATTTTGATTTTAACTTATTATATACATATTTATATACATGAATGAGAGTATCACTTACTTATTCAAGGAAAGTAAAAATAAATAATAATGTTTATCGAGATTCCAAATGTATTGTGTTCGTTATATGATTTGAATTATGGCAATTTTTTTTCATTATTGTATACTAGAAACAATTACGTTAAGTTTTTTGATACGGTTGCACTACCAGAGCGTCCTGAGGATGAATTTGTAAAAGTAGAATGTATTAACATAGTTTTGTTTTTCTTTTATATCACACGACATTAACAATTAAATGAAAATTAATCATTGACTAATTAGTATTAAATATGTATGATTTTGATGTGTAAAGAACTCAAAGGCTTCATAATACGAGTATTTTTGATTGGACTGCAGTCCTGCTGTATAATTCACACGACTCATAAGACTTCAAAGAACTTAAAGGACTCAAAGAACCCAAAGGACTGAAAAAAAACGAAAGGACTTCGAATAAATCTAACGACTCAAGAAATTTTAGGACTGAAAGAACTGAAAAGACTCAAAAGAACTCAAGACTGAGGACTCAGCAGACTAATTAGTCGTGAGTTCTGCAAAAAGAACTTATAGTCGCAAAATTAGGACTAAAAGACTCAGTTCTTTTACAACACTATTACGTAGGGGTAAAAAATACAAGTCGCATTTAATAGTTTTTATATAGATAATAATACAATGTACAATACATAATACAATGATCTTAAAATCTTAATAAAAATAATTACTCGACAATATACACAAATATATAGAAGAGCTCGACTGTTAAGCAGCTTTCGCAATGGCCGCTAATAGGATGGGTGACTAATAATTTAGTGTGATTTTATAGTGACGCGTCTGCCAGCGCGGTTTGTAAGCGTCGCGGTCCACGAGCTTTTAGTGCCTTAGATCGTTACGTAGTAAAATAAGCCGCGCTTTTTAACCGCGCGCGGGCAAGGAGCCACTGTGTGCCAGTGCGCGTTACACAGTCACGCAGATTGGACGCGCGCACACGCATTCTCATTGCGACTGTACGAGTTGACAAACCGCGTGGCACTGAACTCGTTTTATAGATTCGAGCGGGTTATCCGCGTGCTTGCGAGTCACGCTTACCACCCGCGTGGACGGTACGCGTCACTGTAAAATCAGCCTTACTATTGTCGAGTTTCTCCGCGTTTCAGAAGGCACGTTAATCAGTTGGTCCCGGCTGCATCTACTTGTTAATACCCATCAATCCGCACTGAGCCCGCATGGTGGATGGCCCATTCTCCCTAGTTGATTTGATTCAAGTCCAACGATAGGGAAGGCCCGAGCCCCAGTAGTGGGCAGGTTAATAGCATATAAATCAGCATAGGCAGATAAAGCAGCTTTCCGCCAGCGGCTTCGCCCGCGTGATCTTGTATCTAGATATATATAACTCAAAGGTGACTGACTGACATAGTGATCTATCAACGCACAGCCCAAACCACTGGACGGATCGGGCTGAAACTTGGCATGCAGGTAGATGTTATGACGTAGGCATCTACTAAGAAAGGATTTTGATCAATTTTACCCCCAAGGGGATGAAATGGGGGATGAAAGTTTGTATGAAACTTTGCCAATTTTAAACCTTTCGGGCTGAGACTGCATGTATAAAGCTACTATGACGTAGGCATCCCCTAAGAAAGTATTTTGATAAATTCCACCCCTAAGGGGATAAAATAGAGGATGAAACTTTATTTCAGGTATTTTACACGATATAGTGAATACTTATTCGTTAGAAATGCTGCTCAAAGTAATTTTACCACGCGGACGAAGTTGCGGGCAAAAGCTAGTTATACATAAAAACCTTCCTTTTTAATTACCCTATCTATGAAAAAAAAAACCGCATCAAAATCCGTTGCATAGTTTTAAAGATTTAAGCATACATACGGATATAGGGACAGAGAAAGCGACTTTGTTTTATACCATGTAGTAATATAATAAGATTCAAATTACCTGCCATTGTGGAGCTAGGTAAAGCAGGTGACATACCGGGCGAAGCTCCGCCCGCTGGCGGTAATTGTTTGTTAATTATCTGTGTTATCTTCTGTTGTTGTATCACCTGAAGAGATAATTAGTTATTTGTTTTTACCTTTTTATATCCTTTACTTTTAGGCGTACTTGTCGATATCATGTTACGAGTTATTTATTATTTTATAATAAAACCGAGGCTGAATGTTATATTAAACCATAAATAATATAGTATTTTAATATAACAAAAGTATATGTTATAACATTACATAATATACCAACTTTACAACTACCTTTATTCTACAAGAAAATTAAAAACCAGTCAAGAACGAATCGGAGTCATATACTTCTTAGTTTTCCACAAAATTTAAGACTTAGTCGTTTTAGAAATGGGGGAGGGGAAAATCAAAAATTTTGCGAAATAAATTTTCGCTACCTTCTTTAACAACTCAAACATTTGTTAGATTTAGACTATAAAACAGAAAATATTTTAGATTCTCTGAATAAGCCTTTTCATTAGTATGTCATATAATATAGTCCGTGAAACATTTTTTATCTACCCCAAAAAATTACCAATCACATACAAGACCCAAAGTTACATAGTACTTAATTCAGTATCAAATGACAAATAGGTTCTTAACGAAGATTCCGTTTTTACCTTTGGAGGTGAACCTTGAAAATAATAATAATTAAGCATCGTTACCTTTCTGAGCCTGTCGACGAATGTGGCCTGGTTGTTGGGTATGAATCCGAGATACGCCTTCTTGTCCGGTGTATATAATAATATTAACACTTTGATGTCGCATTGAGGCGGCGACGACATCAGTGAGAAGTGTACGCATCCCGCCTAAACAAAAATAAGACGGAGTAAATCATCATCAGCCCTTTTACGTCCCCACTGCAGAGGCTCAGGCCTTCCTTATGGATGGTTAAGAAGAATGGGCCATAACCCTCCACGCTGGCCCAATGCGGATTGTATTAATGACTGCAAATGCAGCCGGGAGCAAGAGCTTAACGTGCCTTCCCAAGCACGGAGTATAATTTAACCTTAGCATTATATAAACTTTTTGAATGTAACCTTATGACGTTTGACATAGAATTGACAGAATGCGTGCTGCAAATATCGCCAAATAGGATTAAAATAAAACTGTTCAAATTCAATATTCATAATTAAGACAGGACAACGTCTGTCAGGTCAGCTAGTATTATATTAAATGCAAACCTGACTAACTTAAATATCAACACACAGCCGAAACTATTGTATCTAGAAACTTGGAATTGGGTACATGGATTCCTTTCATGATATAAATAAACAATAAAAAGGATTTTAGAAATTCATTTCCTAAGGGTGTGAAATAGGGGAATGAAGTTAATATGAAATTTTCTCATATAGATAATTTATAATTCAGGACTACGCGGGCGAAGCCGTTGGCGCAAAGCTAGTATTTTCATAGAAACAATTTGAAAATCTGTTTTTTCGCCTCCTTCAGCACGGTCTTTTCTGATAGATGTGATTAGCCTCAAAGGCCATCCACTTATATTTTAATCCGATAATTATTGATTCTTATTCATCAGTCTATTAATGAAGGAGGATTTCGAGAAATAAGTTTATGACCACCCATCCTCAGATCAGTTTTCGGAAACCAATCAAGTCCTCGAGGTACAAAACCCTAAATATATGACATAAACATAGTATCCATTAAAAATACATAAAAAACAATAATACTCACAAATCCATTAACCATAACTTTAGTGAGTGCATCAAGAGCTTCACAAGGTTGAAGGTGAAACAACACGGACTTGCTATCTTTAAGGTACTGCCCGCCTATATTGCTTATGAGCTGCTTCGGCATCAGCTGCATCAGCAACTTGTTGGGCCATGTATCCACCTTCAACTCAGGCTCCACTTCTTTAGATCCTGCTGACACCTGAACACAAAGATATCATCATCATCAAATGATCAAATAGTGGAAAAAGGCCATAACAGGTTACTTGACTACTTCATATGATTATACTAAGTCACTATCGGATTTATTTTTCTCCAAAAAGTGTTGCTAAATAAAGGAAAAAAAATATTTTTATTTACTAATTTAAATAGTGTTGTGGAAACAATCAGTCACGAGTGATTTCGAGCCGTAACGTCAGATTTTAATAAATTTTAGTACTGGTTGCACTCGCAACAAAGAAGTTTACGTTTAGTATATTGAAATTTGACGTCACATGGTGCTCCATCATGGCTGCCCGCATATCGGTTCCTGTATTCCATAGATTATAACTTTAATCACAAGTTGATTTTGCAAATACAATATACTTCAATTTATTTTGAAACATAAAATACTACATAGTTATCGTTTACAGCATCGGCCACTGCAAGGGCTCAGGCCTTCCTTAAGGATGATTAAGGTGAATGGGCCATAAACCTCCACGCTGGCCCAATGCGGATTGGAGGATATTAACAACTGCAAATACAGCCGGGGCCCGTTGGCTTAACGTGCCTCGCGAATCACGAAGTATCTCGAGACAATAATATTTGGTCACCCATCCCGCGACCGACCCTTGTGAAAGTTACTTAACAACAACGATCGCCACCGAGCCACTACTTGTTTTCATATAAGTTGTCATTTTTACATATTTCATAATCTATTGTTTTAACTGTCAAGTACCTGACATTGGAGATGTCTGGTGGTCTTCTGCTGATCACCTGGAGCTTTTCCTTTCTCCATCCACTCTATGATGCCACTCCATATGAAACTGCGCTGCGGAGCGGCGGGCGTAGTCGACGTACTTGGGCCCGGCGTTGCCAATATACCCGGCATACGCTGGTGACCAGCCTAACAAATTAAATTTAAATTTGACCTAGAATATGAATAATAAGTACAATAAGTCCCAATTTATGTAACTTTTAGCATAAGTGTAGGGCACTTTTAGCATCTTGTTTGTGGTTCATAATATTTAAAAAAAGGCGATCTATTTTGTTTATTGTCTATACCAGTCTATTTGTTAATTACTGAAAAAATGCTATTGGATTATTGCTCCCCATTAATCTTCTAAATGCTGGGGCACACGCCGTCCATATGAATGGAATCGAATAAGGATAACGGGCCATGATTGGTGGATGTTGACGATGGCTGATGCTACCTCGACCAATGGTTAAAAGTGTCTTCTCAGCCCCGGATGAGTTCGAGTCAATTAATTTTTGATTCGGATATGCGGTTTTAGCTACCGGTTCTAGCTGAGCCCCGTACTAGCTGTGGCGGGTTGAAGTAGGATGGTTAAGTTAATACACTCACTTGCGGCGGTACTTGTGGCGGTGGATACGATGGTTGAGCCAGCTGCATGAATAGCGCGGATTGGTTAGGATATGCGGGTTTAGCTGCTCTAGCCACGCCCGGTACTCGCCAAGGCGGGTTAAGTTAACACACTCACTTGCGGCAGTACTTGTGGCGGTGGATACGATGGCTGAGCCAGCTGCGTGAGTAGCGCGGATTGGATAGGATATGCGGGTTTAGCTGCCGGCTCTAGCCACGCCCGGTACTAACCAAGGCGGGTTAAGTTAACACACTCACTTGCGGCGGTACTTGTGGCGGTGGATACGATGGCTGAGCCAGCTGCGTGAGTAGCGCGGATTGGTTAGGATATGCGGTATGTCTAGCCGCCCAGCCGGCTCTAGATGGGCCCGGTACTTGCGCGCGCGGGAACAGTGGCGCCGGCGGGCGGCCACCCTGGACAGCGGCCACGCTTTGTACAGCGCGTCCTTGTCTATTAGACGATTAACGGAATGATAATATTCTATATTGAACAACAACTTGGACACATTACAAAGAAAGCAGTAAGGACAGTATAATAGTATAGCATTGCTATGCAGCAATCTCCTCCAAGCAACCAATGGTGATAGAGAAAAAAAAGATAATGAAGCAAAAATGAAAGTTATATTAGATTAAATAGATATATGTAAAGAAGGAACACAGATTTATTAAGTACGCAATATATTAGTTACAAGTTGGAGAGAATAAGTTTTATAGCCTTGTTTGTTTTGTTTTAAAGAATTCCATATATAGTTTGGTTTATTAATGAGGGTAATTATGAACTTTCAGAGGTTGTTGGATAAAATATAATAATTTACATAATAAATAGTGATAATCCGAAAATTTTATTCAACAAGGTATGATCTACGATTTTTTTCAGACGCGGATTTTAATTCGAGGACCTCGAAAACACTACTGCTCGATCTATCCAATCGTATCTTAATGTGTATGAGTCTTGAAATGTTGAAGAAAGATGATCTTCAGTAAGTACATCACGTATTAACGTTCTAATAGAGGGATTCAAAAATGTTTCGATATTTGGACTTCACAATAAATTGAATATAGTAGTAAACTATTAAAGTATGTCAATACTAACGGGTATACTTCTCCTTGTATGTCGGGAACAGGCGGTGGAGCTGGACTAGGAGGTCTTTCTTTGAGACTGTAGCCTCTTAGCAGCACCATGTGTCTTGGGTCCTAACGGTAACGGTAAAGCATAAATAGTTTTGGTAGTGAAAAATTGTTCAAAAAAATAGGGTATTCTTCTCTTCTCTGTTTGAAATAGTATATGTAAGTGTTTATTTTTATTTTAATTGTCTTAAAATTAAATCTAACTTTGAATTTTCCGCACAATTTATCCAATCTTGTGCTGGACAGATACACATCGTCTTAATAATAGCGTCCCTTTATACGCTTTGGGTAAGCATACTTAAAAAAATATATAAGTTCTTTGCTACTTGTGTTAAATGTATATAATACTTAAATATTAAAAAAAGATAATAAATCTACGGTACCCAAAGTTAGATGAACAAGTATCAAAAAGTTTGTTTATAAATGAAGTTTCAAATAAAAAAATAACTAACAATCTATACTGATATCGTAAACAACAAAAGTTTCTCAGTTTGTTTGTGTGTAGGGGATAATTTTCCGAAATTGTGATCTGATCATGAATATTTATCATATATTTAAGCTAAGCTAAAAAATCGCTCCATAGTTCTCATACACATTGTGAGTAAAACAATATTATATAAACTCACTTTCGCAAAATTCCTCTGCTGCGCCTGGTGTAAATCACCACCGGCGAGCTCATATAGCGGATTTAGTGCTAATATTTTTTTAGCTGCTGCTATAGACACTTGTACTCCTCGCTCAGCTAATTGCCGAGCCGCCTGCTCCACAGTCGCTGGCTCACCTAATCAATAACACCATGTATAATTATTTAAGATAAATGTTGAAGATATATATTCAAATAATTTTCCTTAATAAAAAATGCTTAAAAAATTCACGTTGTCCCTGGCACTCTGAAATGGGACTTGAACCTATGACCTTTCGGACAAGTGCTCTGACCACTGAGCTACTCGGGATCGCTACTAAATAAGCTTTGTGAATGCAAAATCAATCAAATACAATGAAACGTTTTGTGGTGATCCTTGGATGGTTAACAATAATGCTCCTGCATTTACAAAAATCAACAAAAATTGTTTGCTTCCGATACTCTATAGTATGAGGGCTTCATCTTCTTATTTTGGAATCTGAGTAATGTTTACGATGTTGTGTAATATTATGCGAGCCGAATAAGAATAGGACAGTCCAACAGCCATCTTGGTCGGTTGGACATTTCACTTCAAGTTCAGGGTATAAGGTTGCTAATGACATACAACAGAAACACAGATTTGCCTTATTTTGTTCCATCTATTAGGCAGGCCTATGCCCTGGCAGTGAGGACGTTGATAAGCTTATGATGATGATATAAAGAAGGATATTAACTGGAAGATTTTTAATTAATATTAGCTTATGACTCCAGTATAGTAGGCCAGTGTGCACACTGTACCCTCGGATCACATGGGCGTTGCCGCAGGTCATAGTTGGTATGACATAAAAGTATATACTAACATTTGTAATTGAATCCAAAGTCAAAATGTTGACGCCTTTAGAGTGGCCGGCGTTAACGTTGTTACAAACACTGTCAACTTCATATTTAGTAATAAAAAAAAAGACCAAGACATGATTTCAGAAAATATTTTTTATTAATTCTTGACATATAATAAATCCAATAATTTTATTACTACATAGTATAAAACAAAGTCGCTTTCTCTGTCCCTATATCCCTATGCTTAAATCTTTAAATCTACGCAACAGATTTTGATGCGGTTGTTTTATGTATAATACAAGACCACTCGGTCGAAGCCGCTGGCGGAAAGCTAATATATGTATAAAGTTAACCAAACCCAAAAAAATGTTGAGCATAATTTATTTTCTTTGCAATCAGTACAAAGTAAAACAAAAAAGTAGGCCGACTCGAGCCCCGAGCGAGCGATAATAGCCTAAAGACGTAGGGCTGTTGCTTATAGGTTATTCAAAAAGTTTGTCATAAAAGGAGCATTAACAGTTAGAGAACTTGCACTTGGAAGGGTAAAATATTAGAGACAGATCATATTCATTATATATTGGCAAAATATTAATAATCAGAATTTTATTTTTATTTATATGGTATTCAGACCATTTTCTCATCTATAAAAAACATATTTTCATCATACGTACATACTGCTTCTCACATGCCGCAATGGTATGAGACATTAGCCCCATTATTCTCGAACGCAATCATGCCCGATTGACATTGCAATTGTGCCGTTTCTTACTCTTGATTGGGTACACTAGCGCCAGAATATGCTAGTGAACCAATCAAGAGTGCGGTGCGGCACAATTGCAATGTAGATCGGTCGCGATTGCGTTCGACAGTAATGTGACTTATGAGAAGACAGTTGTTATCATTCCAATGTATTACCTCAGGATGTTCATAAAAAGTCCATAGACACCATTGTAATGCTCACTGTAATAAGATATAATGTGCCAACTGTGATTAAAATCAAATCATCATGTGTTCGTTCCATCGAAAGCTACTGAAAAATAGTGATGCGTCAATCATATATAGAACACTATGCGTCAATGCGTCTATATAGAACACATAGAGATATAGACGAGAGAGAGAGAGAGAGAGAGAGAGAGAGTTTTGTGCAAGGAAAAGTATTGTTTTCCATAATGCTCCTTTTACTAGTACATGATTCCATGTTAAAATGATCCTAGTTAAAATTTAAATAGCAATAAAGCATATTTGGCCATCAATATTGAAGATGCCCCCTACGTAGTATTTACTTACTCATATATATCTTTACTATGAGTAACATTTTGTTTGTGCCAGACCTGGGTTTTTTTTAAGCATTGTCCTTTTGTGTTTGCGTACGATAACGGATATTCACGGGCGTGCTCACGTATAAACTGTTTTCGGTGCGTAATTGCGTACTGTCCGTACTAAAATGACAGCTATGCCATGGAGTTGGTAGCTAGGCCGATTCTATTCTTATTTGGCTTGAATAATATCTATACCTATATTTATAAGGAATGCCTTTGCCTCAGCAAAGACATTACAAATGGACATAAATAAGGCTGATGATCTAAATGACTACACTCACCTGCAGGGACCAGACCTCCGGCGTACATTGCGTACGGTGAAGAACAACATAGTAATAATAAATGCATCGGTAAATCTGTCCGACCTAATTCTTCGAAACATTGTATCGCTGTTGAAAGACCCTCAATAACACATGCGCGAGATTCAGCATGACCACCAACAAACCTTAAAAAATAGTCGTAATATATATACAGGATATAATCACATATTCATTAACTGTTATTTGTCGAAAGAAAGCTTACAATACTACAATAGTAGTACAATATTCAAATCAACATTGGGCAAAGTATGCTATTTTTGTTAAGTAAGTGAATAAAAGCATTTTTTTTAGAGTTAGCTGGATAAGTATGAAGTGTAGAAACTTATGTTAATGTCATATTTATGTATAAACACTATTTTGTGTATGTTGTGAGATTGTGTTCCACTTTGACCATGAGACAGGGAGAACGACGGTACGCATAAGTATTCTTCAATAAGATATTTTTAAAACTATTTAAGCTAGAGAGGTAAAACACAAGGTTTTAGGGTCGGCGCATATTTACCAAAAGATGCATTCAGTACCATCATATTGGTTTGGTTGTGGAACATCAGAAACAGATAAATACATATTTCTGATTTGTACACTTAACAAATGATCCATAAGACAGACACTGCATCAGATGTGTCGATCAAAGTCATCAGATCAGATTCAAAAGTCAATTCAACAATATTTAAATTTTAATCATTTTTTATTCTGATATTGGTTTTCGCCACTGTAAAGGTTGTCGTAAAGGATTAGGTACAAAATATCTATGCAATTAAAAATTTTGTAATGGAAATAACATGTGAGTGATCTTTGCATCTTTTCTTTGCTATCTAGTCTCTAAAACACTATTGTATGGTATCCCATTCATTCTGATATATATTTATTTTTGCTGAAAATACAATCTGTCACTTAAATGCTATTGAAAAAATGAAACAAACAAACACTTTATTGCAAATAAAAGAGTAAACAATCAGACAAGAAGATCACAATCATGGTCAGAGAGGGGATTAAACATTTCTCAGTATTTTTGATAAAAGAACAATGGCGAACTCCCATATAGCTTTGGACCTGAATTTTTAAAGTCGCGTTCATCAATGAAATAAACGTGTACTTGAAGGTATAAGCAAAACTAACAAAATCCTAATCGTCTTTTTCCTTTAAAAGTTGGGATTAAAGAGATATGGCATAAAATACTTTGTGAGGTTATATATTGCATCTTTGCTTTTTCGTTGAATGGACGTTAAAATGAATAAAAATGGTAACCAGGTTACTCCGTTTAATAAACTAGATTAAAATAATTACATATCTAACAATATCCAGACACTTATAATAGAAGAAACATTTATAACATATGACTAAACTGTGTGGAGTAGATCCCTTTGCCTTTAATTAAATCATTACAACTGAAAGTGACAAACAAGGGCAATGTACACATTGAACTGTCATTGTTATAACCGAATCAATTGCCATTCGGAATCCAAAAGTAATGCAAATATCAACGTTAGTCGAAGAAACATGCTTAATTGTCAAGTTGAATATTAACATAAATATCAAACTCCACGAACGAACACACAAAAAATAAACCAAACCAATCATCCGCTATCATTCCACCGTCATCATCTTAGAACATTCATAGATGAAAACAAACATGTCAAAATAAAATCAACCAATCGATTATTTAGAACAAAATAATCGATACGTTAACCTTTCATCGGTTCAACTACAGAACTGGCAATAAGCTTTTTAAATCGGTTGTGGTATCTTAGCTTTCAATTTTTTTATTTCTCAAGTATTCAATACGTAATTTGAACGAATAAAATAAATATTTATGAAAGTATTCAAAGACCGTATTTCATATAATATATTATATATAGATTTTATATTGAATATATATTTGACGTTCATTCGCTCAGTCGGTACACGTCATTACATCACATATCTCACTTATTATTAGCAGTAAATGGCGACAGATAATATTCTATAGAACATGTTTGAAAAACTCGCGATTAATTGAGAATCGCTTCTGACATCGTTGATGTATGTGATCAATTTTTAAAAAACCATCCAAAGTACAACAACCCTTTGATATATTGTGTGGTTTTCAATTAAAGAGAACGGAATGAATTCTATACAATCTTATTTTGACTTTATATTCGATTATTAAGCGTATTGATGGTACTTTAAAGGTAATAGAATTAATTGCAATGTACAGGAAACGATAATATCCATTAAAATAGATGACCCTTTTCAAGGGCAAAAGTCATGAAACACTTCCAAGATATAGTTTTATTATTAAAGTACTTCTGCGTAAACCAGAACGTTTCTTAAAAAGATTTTCGCGTTTTGTTTTTGCACTATCATCAGACGTTTTGTTATCTTGATAATTATTAGCAGCATTTAACATTTTAGTTTGGTTCCCCGACATTAAAATTCACCATTTTGTAGAAATAAAATCTATTAATCCTATATTATTTATTTGTCATATTGCCATCCATGTACGGTTTTGTAAATTATGGGGTCCGATTTCGCCATTCTTCTTTTTATAATTAAAGCTCAGACGAATTAGTCTGGATAACTGGATATTCAGATAATCGAGGTTTGGATAATCGAGAGTCTACTGCAATTTTTTTTTTTCATGTACTACATGAGTTACAGTCATCCAATATCATATACCTTATAAAAATTGCATGAAAAAAACATGCAGAAAGATTTCAAAAACAATATTATTATAAGTATTGCCATCATAGTATAGGGATATTAATTAGAACACCGTGATTTACATGTCATGAATATCCTTTGCATTCTAAATTGACACTGAAGGCCCTGATGCTGAAGGGTGATTATTCATACCAATTTGTCACTAAAGGCCCTACTTGGAAGGCTTACCAACAATTATAAAACAACAGCAACTTCAATCTGATGTTGATTAATTAATATTTTGTAAAAAATATCGTTGTTCTTTGAAAAATAGTGAATTGAATATTTAAAGTAAATTCTTAAAACGTGTCACCTTAAACATAAAAATAAAATGGTCATGTTAGTTATGAGCCATTCTATAAAACCTCCTCCCTTATAATGGGAACATTAATATGCTGATGATGAAATAAATATATCCAATAAATAAATAAACATAATAATAATTATGTACAATAGTTAAAAAATGTAATTTTATAAATATTAACATACTTTAACTTATCAATGGCTGCTATAACTTCCTGTGGGCATTTGAATGGTCCATATGTGTCAGTAGGCCATGCAGGATGGCAGTTGGCAGTTTTGTATGTGACTACACAGTATACAGAGCCAGTGCCTCCACCATCTTCTAAAGGCCCACCATGAAAATACCTGAAAATTTGTCCATTTGTTTTCAGTGAAATAAAGAAGTCTGTTTTCTTTTATTAAGTAATTAATTATAATATGTTTGTGTAAATGTGCCAAAGACAAATAATTTAAGATGAAGGGAGACTTAGTTTATTTAATCAAAATGTTGGGGAAGGTAGATCAAAATTTTTACACCAAAAATTGTCTCAATGATATTTTTTAAAGAAAATCTTTTACTTTATAAGATAAGAGTGCATTGACATTTTTACGAAAGTAGGAGATCATTCCTAATATTTATGAAAGTGGAGGCGAAAGAAGTAGGGACCGAGCCCTGAGGCAGTTGGTCCTCTCTGTCTACCCTGCAAGATAAAGTGGAAGTGAAGATGGCGTGAAGATATAGATAGATATTTCTGAAATAGAAATAAAATTACATGGCATACGTACTCTAAAGTGGGTATAATGTAATTTGTTTTCAGTTCATTTATGTACGCTCCATTCGATGAAGTAGCTTCTATAACAAATATTACTTCTGCCTGTACAGGAGTATCTGGTGCGTTGGCACTCATCATTGGCGAATCATTAATTACAAAAAATATGAAATTAATAAAGCGATTACACAAAAACTTATTCAAATGAACAATTTTAGTACAAGCGCGAGGTACGAAATGTTTTCTAATTTTGACATTTTTGTCAAATGCACATCAAACTCTATGGATGAAAGTATTCTATGATGTCTATGGTGAGTTCTGTTCAATCTTTTACTTTTAATGTAAGTTTGTGAAATGAAACGTATTTTAAGAAAAGGAAGAAAGCACCTCACTAGATGGCGACTCTACCAAAAGTTGATTTTTGCAGGAAACAAATGGACAAAAGATAGTCATCATTACTGATTCTATTAACTAACATATTAAAAAACTGATATTAGCAAAGTTCGAAACTTAGATATCAATACAAACACTAAAAAGTACAAACAGAATATGAGTTGTTTATTGATTTTTGAAAATTCAGAATCTATCACTATATCCATTATTGCCCAGAATTACACATAAATAAATCCAAGAACAACAAGAAGCAGTTGATGAGTGGCGCTGTTGCCATTTCACCTGAAAAATCCTGGACGTAAATCAATCTGTTGACCGATTTTAGCATCAGTAAGCTTAAACTAGGAACCATTTATATTGTTTTTGATTAGTATAACAAACTAATTATATTTTTTAAGGTAGCACAGTTACGAGCCTAACATCAAGCAGGGAACGCCTATTTCAAGGATTTGCCTGAATTTATGTTGGCAATTTTATCTCTGCCACACTCGAATGCTGAATGTGAAAGAGTTTCAAGCAAAGTAAATAATATAAAAACTAAAATAAACTCTTTACGAGGTTTAGCTCCTTACGATAAAAGGAAATGTTTTATTGCAACAGGCCATACAGCGGCACGGAATAAATTTTGTTCCCACCTATACAATGTTTCAAAAGTAAAAAATAAATATGAAAAAAATACTTTCCGATTGTAATTAATAATAACGTGTTTGTTTTTCTACCCTGACCCAAGACTTATTGTTAATAATTCAAGGTAGTTCTACCGTATTTCAAATTAAAAATACACCATAATTTTGAAAAATCTACCGTAATTTTAAAACATTTCTACCATCCGCTAGATTTTAGAATTGGTAACACTGGTGACAGTTTATTTTTTCATATTGTTTCTTGCGAAAAAAAATCTGAGCAGATTTTGTGCTGTAAAAATAGTTTATTTAATACTTTAAGTTTTTATCATTCATTCAATCAAATTTATCACCTATAATGGAAGTAACAGACGAAAATTTAGTAACTCTCGCTAATTATTTGCAGCAAACATTAAATCCTGACCCGAATATACGAAGACCCGGTAAGTTTTTAAGTACACCGCATGCTGTCATAAATAATAGAATTTCTGCCTATGTTTTTTTATGTTTTAAAACACTATTGCCGATCTTGTTTTATAAATATTTTGTAATATTTTCATTATTTAAAGAAATGTAATCTATCAAAATTCACAGTAACACATTTCTTGAGCTACTGGATAGAAAATGGGTTATTAATAATGTTTTTCAGTATAGCATTGCTCAAATATAATGATTTCAACTTTATCAAGAGATTAAATATTTGTAAACACATTTCTTTCGGCTGTTTAAGTGGATTGTCTGAACATTGATGAAAATATGCTCTGTAGTAGCAAAAAAGCAAAGAATGCTTTAACAATACATCAGTTCTGTTAGGTTCCGGGTGGCTCAGTGGTTAGAGTAGTTGCCTGAATTGTGAAACGTCATGGGTTCGAATCCTATCTCAGGGTTCCAGGAGCAAAGTAGACTTTTTTAAGAATTTTTCATTAAGTTTATTTTTCAGTATATCATTGTGGATGTAAAATTGATCAAATATATAATGTTTTGGTTTTCTAATAAAGTTGATACATATACAACAACAGTTTTAATGCTTTAGAATGTTTTGCACATTCTACAGAAAAGTAGATTTGAAAGTTATAAAATTTTCATAATAATATGCAATCAAAGATGACATTACACTAAAATTTAAATAAACAACCATAAAAAATTAGCATTCACCAACCTAATCACAGTGTTATTATTATTTTAAAGAAAAAACTAAATATTTATTTATTTTAAGTAATATTGTATTTAATTAGTAATTATTCCTTTTTTAGCTGAGAAATTTCTAGAAGGTGTCGAGGTTAATCAGAATTATGCGATACTTCTACTTCACCTAATTGATAAAGATGGAGTTGATATGACCATCAGGGTAGCCGCTGCTATAGCATTCAAAAATTATATTAAAAGAAATTGGGCTGTGGTAAGTGATACAATATTATTATAACCTCATAGCCAATGGATCCCATGCCATATTATTATAAAACAAGTACTAAAGTCAGTATTTGGTTTGACAATAACAGAGGAAAATGTTAAAGTGAGAATGTTGAGTTATTTTGGCTGATTCATTGTTTAAATCTGGTACTCAAGTTACTCTTTTTAAATAATAAGACTGACATGGTTTCAAGTTGTCAACATTTCTGTAGTCCTGAATGCTTACTATATAAATGATTTACATATAACATAACTAGATAGGAGTTAAAATTTATCAAATGCTTATACAATTACAAATTCAAATTCAATGACAGAACAATTCTACATTCTAACCTTAACCAGCAGATCTATTGTGTAACATTGGCTTTCATTTGGTTGACTCTCATTTAATAAAAATGCACATAATATTAAATATTGTACTGAACATTGAGTGACTTTGGCCAACATTTGTGACATGTTTATTGCTACTCAGGATGAAGATGGAGCAGACAGGATACACATTTCAGACAGAAATACCATCAAAACTCTCATTGTGTCACTTATGCTGAAGTCCCCTGAAGCGATACAGCGTCAATTTAGTGATGCTGTGTCTATCATTGGCAAATGTGACTTTCCAGAGAAATGGCCCAGCCTTATACCAGAGATGGTGGAGAAATTTGCTACCGGTAATTATTTAGGATTCAAGTAAATTTTGTAGCACTTTTTCACACTTCATTATTTCATTGATTTGAAAAAACAGCGATGAAAAATTTCATTGTCTCATCAAACTTTATAAAGTAGGTATGAGCTTAATTTCCATAATTCAGCTCTAGAGCTGAATAAATCTGATATGTGTTATAATCTAGATTGTAGTATATACCTGCTATAATATAGATTCTGTACATTTAATTTAGGTTTCAATGGTTTGCAAGACAAAATGTGTTGATTGCTGTGAAATTTGACTACTCAGTTAAAGATGATATACTTTAAATATTAGTAAAAAATATGTCATTATTTAACTTCTGAGATTGGAGTAAAACCGGTTTCCCTAATTGGTCAAAGCATAAGAGTAATTAGGAACCACTGTTATAATTTATGTGAGAGTCCGGGAGCCAATACTGCAATCCTACCTGTAATCTGAAATAGAGTTTTCTCACATATACTGCTTTTGGTAGGTGATTTTCATGTCATCAATGGTATCCTTCGGACGGCGCATTCACTATTCAAACGGTACAGATATGAGTTCAAATCACAAAAACTTTGGGAGGAAATCAAACATGTATTGGATCATTTCGCCAAACCATTGACAGATTTATTTTTGGTGAGTTGTCTATAAATATCTTTATAATTGCAGTATTTATTAAATTTTTTTTGGGCTTATTTTGAATGATGTAATTAGTATTGACAGTTAAAAATAGTATGAAATCAATAAATATATTATACTTTCTGCTGCTGTAATACCTAATTTTCATATTACAAGTGCTTTAAGCTACTTCACTTAATGTCTGAGCAATGAATGTGATATTGTCTAATATTTATTATTATGAGTATAAACATTAAAAATAATAATAAAGTAAAAAATGTAACCAAAACATTCCAACTTAACATATAAACTTTTTCTGTTTGCTTTTAGGCCACAATTGATCTCACCACTAAACATGCTGACAATCCTCAAGCACTTCTCATCATATATGGATCATTAGTCCTCATATGTAAAGTGTTTTATTCACTAAACTACCAGGATCTGCCAGAGTTTTTCGAGGACAATATGCCTATATGGATGCCGAATCTTCTCAACTTGCTGCAAGTCAAAGTGCCTTGTTTGGAAAGTGATGTATGTATACAGTCTTAAAAATCTTTAGTTTCTATCATGAGCTGGGGGAAAAGACTGCAGAGTAAACAACGCTAGGCTAAGTTCAAACTGTGAGCAGAAATTTAAGTCTTATTCACTGTGTCACATTACATATAGTTCAATAAAAATATATGTAACTAACTGCTTTCCCGGGAATTTGCCCTCGTTAATTAAAGTATTTATTCGCATATCATGTAGGAATTTTGAAAAGTAGTTTTGGAACCTACTTGATCCAAACAAACAATCAAATCTTTCTTATTTACAATAATAATATAGAAAACTATGACTTATGTATGTCTTATATACCGAACTTGTAACAACTGCACTATAGCTCCGCTAATAATCATTTGATTAATGGCATTCCATAACAGTCAAACTGGTAAAGATGAACAGTACATATGGCTGCACGCCAGGTTATCGGAATATGTCGAATTTCTGTAAGGGATTTTGACCTCTATAATCATTTCATTAAGGTTTAAAATTGAGTGGGGAAGTTAGATAGTTTTGTATTGTCTGATATAGGCAGTATTGTTTAAAGAGTAAATAAAATTTTACTACCAACAACATTAAAATACACACATACCCATATTCATAAATAATGTCAGACTATAAAACTTTGTATAATATTATAGTCACAATTATATAATATTATAGTCACAATTAGATTTATATTATTGTGATAATAATTCTTGCACAAAATAAATTTATTACCGGCCGACTGTGCAATATTTTAAAATAAACCATTGACATACAGCCAGTTGCACAATTGTCTATTAAAATTGTTAGTTCCATCAAAATTGTCATACAAGTTTGACCTAACATTGAAGCTTAAAAACGTGATTAAACTTTAATGAATGTTTATGCAACTGACTGTTAGACACTGTCAGTGGCATTTTGTTATAACACATGAATGATGAATGTGTGCTGTCAGTTGGGTTTTATAATAACATATCACTATTATCACTGATATTTTGCCTCATATAATATTATTATTTTATTGATAAAATATCATATTTTAATAATATCATATTGTTATCTTATTCCCGGCAATTAGTAACATGACTTTCTTTTATATATATATATATATTGTATATATTACATTTTAAATATATATATTTGTCTACAATAGGGTGATGAAGATAAACCGGGTGTTCTTGAACAATTGCGCAAGGAAGTATGCGAATGTGCATCCCTGTACGCACTTAAATATGAACCCGAGTTCGTTCCGTACGCACCCGGGTTCGTGACGGCCGTCTGGACTGTTCTACTGTCGACCAATACACAGCCTAGATATGATGCGGTAAGTGTGGAAGGTTAATGGCTCAATTTGCGCGTTCAGTCTGCAATTGCAGAAGTTAAGCGAATTTCACAAAAGCTAGATCTAGGATGGGTGACCGTACTTCATAAAGCAACCGTTCTGAACCGGTTCCGGCTGCATCTGTAATCGTTATTCATTTTCCCTTTGTTTCATGAGCATTTACATATTTTTATCATATCGGTATCTTACATTTGCCCTTTTTAACAATGGTATATTATTTTCTAGTCTGTGTGAATAAGTACTAATGTTATTTTTATTTAATAAACCACAAAAAATGTATTGTTAAAACAAACAAGTTTTCTTGCCTCCTACCTACCTGTTACCGAACAAATAAATAGCTGTGAATTGCTGGTCCTAGAGAAGCACAGAAGTTGATAGATATTAGCACGATAGTTGTTGCCAAAGTGACGTCACATCATGGCGACAAATGATTATTTATTTATAAATTATCGGAAGACGTACAGTATCATCTTAAAAAACTTGAACTTTCTACTAGAGGAATTCTATTCTACCCACCTATCGAATTCAGTGATGTCAAAGTAACTCATTTTCTAGAATGTTCGATTAATATAATTGATCTGTTTTCAGTTGGTGTCCAACGCCCTAACATTTTTAGCGAAGATCGCTGAGAAGAACAGTTACAAGAGTTTATTCGAAGACCCGGCGACTTTGAGCAGTATATGCGAGAAAGTCGTCATACCCAACATGGAGTTTAGAGGTGAGAGTAGCAAGCAATACTACAATAGCCGTGACGTCACATTTCAATAAACATGAATACTACATTTGACGTTTTATAAATTATCTTTATAAATCCTTGCTTCTATATTTAGATATAGAAGCAAGGATTTATAAACAACTTTGTTTATAAACAAAGTTGTTGGCTAAACGGCAATTAAAATGTGACGTCACACGCTGGTCATGGTCATCCACAGAGTTATTCATCGTAAGTTAATTTTGCAAAATTGAATATATTTTAAAGCAAAACAATACTGAATAGTTACCGTTTACATATAAATTGCCATTTCCAACATATTTCATAATTTCTTGTTATAATTCTTAAGTAGCCAATTATATAGGGTACGCCTGTGCCTCAGTAATTGAAAATTATTAGGCATAATAATATACATGTTTTGTGCAGAATCGGATATGGAATTATTTGAGGATAACCCCGAAGAGTACGTCCGTAGAGACATAGAGGGCTCTGATGTAGATACAAGAAGGCGAGCCGCTTGCGATCTGGTGCGAACACTGTCACAGCAGTATGAAGATAAAATAATGAATATCTTCGGACAGTATGTACAGGTATGTATTCAATATGTGTGTATTGGTTTATAATTTGTTTCTCAAATTGTGAGCTTGTTAAGGGAATGAAACAAGTCGGTAAATGTCAGTATTTAAAAAAAAGAACAGTATTAAATGTGGAACTTATTGTCTATGGGGAAGGACAATAACTGAAAAAAGTTTTCAATTTGACACTTTAACTCAGAAACTATTTAAATAGTCAATTGCTTTATTTTAAGGTCATTTTAATCATTACTTTTAAACATTGAACTTGTTGTATATTGTGGAAAAAGAACATAGAAATAATTTACATTACAATACCAATGAATTATAGAAAAATATTAAATACATATTTTTTGCTTCAATTTAACAAGGAATGGTTTACATAATAGGTATAAAAGTTGAAGAATGGAGGCTCCCTTCACATATTTGAAGAAAATCTAATAAAACGGTGACGTAATGCTACGTTTTTAATTCAATGTAACACCGTGATTTAATGATTGTGCAACAAATAAAAGACACGTGTTTAATATTCTACAATAGTCTGCCTGAATATTATATACTAGCTTTCCGCCAGTGGCTTCGCCTGCGTGGTCCCTAAGCAACTGTTTATTTGAACATCGATTCATGAGACAGATATAATTACAAATATACAATACTTACTATGGTAACGTTTGAACTCCCTATACAAACGTTCACTCTCATTTTCATCCGTTTATCTGCTGTTTATCGGGATAAAATATAGTCTATGTTCACCGCATATGATGTAGCTTCCCGTTGATGAAAGAAGTTTTTAAATCGGTCCAGTAGTTTTGGAGCCTGAAATATTAAATCTTGACTCTTTATAATATTAGTATAGATGTACAAAAGCGGTATGTCATGCGCTTTTCAACTCGATGTATAGCCGTAATTTATTGATTACGCAAAAAATAAAAATAAAGTAATCTATCTCATTCATTTATTATTGTGATAAAAACGACATTTACAAAAAAAAAAGATTAAAATTACCAATTCACATTCATTATTAAAATTTATTACACATAAATAAAATAAGAAAATAATATAGATATTACATATATTATTTAAATAACTAAGATGGTTACATGTAAATAAAAGAGGTCAATAAATTTAAATAAAAAGTCACTATTATCACTGTCAGAGTTACCAGTTACTCCATTGGTCCCTTACACTCTCACAGTACGTTTATAATTGCCACTTGATATTTTCCCAATTGTCAAACAAAAAATTTAAATAAGTGTTGACGTCACGAAGTGTATTGAGGTGACGCGGAGGCCTCTGAGAGCGTCATTGCACTTGCTAAGCTATTCTTATAAAATGCTCTCAAGAAAGTCTTTTCGGCCCTCTCGAGCATCTGCACGTATGTTATACGATTAATAAAGAAATATTAAATAGCCATCATCCCTAATCACTGCGGACTGCAGTAATATGAATAAAAAAAGACACGTGGGGTAAAGAATATCACAAAATATATTAAAACCGGGTCATTATAGCTATCAATAGACAACACCAATCAGAAATATAAAAAGTAAATTTATAAAAAAGGTTGTCTTCAGCTTCTATAAGAAAGGTTGAAAAACTCCCTATCGTATGTTGTGCGCGTACACATCATCATCATCACCAGCCCTTTTACGTCCCCACTGCAGGGGCTCAGGTCTTCCTTATGGATGGTTAAGGAGGATGGGCCATGACCCTCCACGCGGGTCCAATGCGGATTGGAGGGTATTAACGACAGCAAATGCAGCCGGGACCAACGGCTTAACGTGCCTTCCAAAGCACGGAGTAACTCGAGATAATAATTTTTTGGTCACCCATCCCGTGACGGACCCCTGCAAAATTTGCTTAACGACAACGATCGCGGGCCGCAGCGCTTTACCACTACGCCACCGAGCTACTCGTATTGTTAATAATCATACAATGTCGGTTGCCACAGCTGATGCTGCAGAAGTACAGTGAGGGTGGCGGTGGGGCGTGGCGCGGCAAGGACGCCGCCATGTACCTGGTGACGTCACTCGCGTCCCGCGGCGGCACGCAGGCGGCCGGCGTCACGCGCGCCTCGCCGCTAGTGGACCTGGGCCAGTTCGCCGCCAATCACGCGATACCTGAACTGCAACGGGCCGACGGTGAGGATAACAAAGTTTAAATTGTCCGGCCAAGTGGCACCGTTATTCACGTTCGCCCTAAGTGTCCGTTGTCCATATAAACCGTTCATATAAATCGCAAGTTATTAAATACATTCGGACTGTCAGTCTCTCATCCCATCCGTCCACATTACCAATGTCGAGTCGATCCCATCCGTCTAGAGTAGTGATTCCCTAAGTGGCCCAGGTGGACATCTAGGGGTCCACGAGGGATTCAACGGGGGACTACGTTGGCGTGAAATAAAAATAGAAGAGGCGAATTTATGGTTGGAACTTACCCGCGATGCCGATTTCCATCGTTAGATCTTTACATTTTCGACGAATTTTGGGAATATGGTAAAAATGTAGCGGTAGGGGTCTATGAGACAAAATTGTTTGGGAACCTCTGGTCTAGACTGTCTAACTAAGGTCTATCCTATCCATCCAGATTTGTCAGTGTGGAGTCAATCCCATTTATCCAAGCTGTCGATCCTATCCGTTCAGACTGTCTTGTCGGTGCGATGCAATCCCAGCCATCCAGACTGACAATCTAAAGTCGATCCTATCCGTTCAGACTCACGGTCTTGTGAGTATCGAGTCAATCCCAGCCATCCAGACTGTCAATCTAAAGTCGATCCTATCCGGCCAGACTGTCAGTTTCAGATCCGTCGCATCCGTCCAGACTGTCAGCCTCACTTCGATCCCTTCCGCCCAAACTGTCAAACTTGCAATTCCTAGTAATCCCATGCATCTAGATTCATTGTCAGTCTTTAGGTTCATCTCATCGGTCCAAATCACAAGTCATCCCATACATCCGGACTCATTATTCAGATACCTGTCAAAATCTTTGGTCCATCCCATCCATCCATAATGTTGCAGTTGTTATGAGTCATAGATTATAATTAGGTGATGTAGAGTTAAATAAACATAATTGAGCAATACGAATATACAAAAGATGATAGGTAGACCAAAAATATTGAATAAAATACACTGACCCAGCAACATATAGTTATAGATATAAATTATATAACAAGGTGTACTCATATTTTACACAAGTCTCAACTTATTTCCATTACGTCTATTAAGATATAAAGGTTTTAGTTTCCCAAGATGTGACATGTGATCAACCTGAGAGGCTCGCATTTCATCTCTATTTACTAAAAGATAAATATCAATATGTAAATGGAAAATCTTTCAAATATAACTTTTTGAATAACTTATGTTTTAGTGAACGAGTTGCCAGTTCTGAAGGCTGACGCCATCAAGTATCTGATGACCTTCCGCTCGCTGTTGCCTAAAGAACTGCTTATTAACGCCTTCCCGTTATTGGTGAGTCTTATAAAACTGCAATTTTCTGTCGCCAGATTGCAACACTAGCACATTTGGTAAAAAAGTTTTTCTGATACAGGTGTAGACAGTAATCGAAAATAAATACTTTTTTCTATGGTAGTGTTTAATATACTATTATAGATAATCCCTCTTTAATGTTTATTGTATTGCTTTAATTAATTAAGTAGTGATTCCCTAAGTGGTCCAGGTGGACATCTAGGGGTCCACGAGGGATTCAACGGGGGACTACGTTGGCGTGAAATAAAAATAGAAGAGGCGAATTTAGGGTAAATTAAAGAGAAGGCGAATTTAAAGAGAAGTTTTGGGAGGATTTGGATGCAGTAATGATTAGTATACCGGACAACAAGGACGTTTATATCGGAGGAGATTTTAACGGCCACGTAGGTAGAATGAATGTTGGGTATGAAAGAGTGCATGGAGGGTGTCGCTATGGTACCAGAAACGTAGAGGGAGACACTTTGCTTCAAACTGCTATTGCATACGACCTTGCAATAGCAAACCCCTTTTTCCAAAAGAAAGACCAACACCTGATAACGTACAATAGTGGAAACCACAATACCCAAATTGATTACTGGTTATTAAGAAGGAGAAATTTGAAGTATGTCAAAAATGGTAAGGTTATACCTGGCGAACCCCTTGTCTCCCAACATAAACTTCTGATCTTAGAGATTAAACTTCTGGTCAAGTCCACCAAAACCCAAACTAAGCTACCACCCAAGATTAAATGGAGTTTATTAGAGGACAGAGAGCGTACAAAATAATTTCGAAAGGGAGTGATAGATAAGATGATTGAAATGAGTGATATGGAAGGAAAGACAGTTAACGAATGCTGGAATGTAATGTCAGAATGTATCAGAGATGAAAGTAGAAGAGTGTTTGGTGAAACGAAAGGGAAAGGCAAAATAGACAGAGAAACTTGGTGGTGGAGCGAGGAAGTACAAAAGAGTGTAAAAGATAAGAAGAAAGCGTTTAAGGAATGGAAGGACACTGAAAGCGATGATGAGGGTATGAAAGAAATGAAAAAGAATGTATACAAGAAAACAAAGAACGCGAGGAAGGCTATTGCTGTTACAAGGGCAAAAGTGCAGGATAAACTGTACTCATTCCTAGAAAAACCACAGGGTCAGAAAGCATTGTACAGGATAGCCAGAGAAAAAGAGAAGAATGCAAGGGATATTGGGCATGTGAAGTGTGTGAAAGATGAAGGAGGAAAAGTTTTAACTGAGGATAAGTATATTAGAGAGCGTTGGAAGGGATATTTTGGTAAACTTTTGAATGAGGAGAATGATTGGAGTGGAGTGCTAGAAAACGTGCAAGTGAATAAAGGAATGGTTAAGGAGGTGAGTTTGGAGGAAGTGAAAGCGGCAGTACGAACTATGAAGATTGGAAAGGCACCAGGCCCAGATGCTATACCAGTGGAAGTTTGGAAGTTTCTGAAAGTTGATGGATGGAAGTGGTTGACTTTATTCTTCAATAAGTTGTTACAAGAAGAGGTGATCCCTGACGTATAACCTTACCAATCTGCTCCGACTTCAGGTACCTTGGGTCATTAATACAAAACGATGGCGATATTGACCGTGACGTGAGGAATAGAATAAATGGGGGTGGATGAAATGGCGAGAGGTCTCAGGAACGATATGCAATCCACGAAAGCCCCTTAAACTTAAGGGGAAAATCTATAAAACGATCGTAAGACCTGTCGTACTGTATGGTTCTGAATGTTGGGCTACAAAAGGGACGGATGAAAGGCGAGTACATGTGGCAGAGATGCGAATGTTGAGATGGATGTGTGGAGTGACGCGAATGGACAAGATTAGAAATGAGTACGTAAGAGGAAGCCTGAAAGTTGCACTTGTGACGGAGAAAATGAGGAGTAATGAGAAGGGACGAAAGTCATGCTACGAAAAGAGTGATGGGTATGCATGTGGATGGATATGTGAGTAGAGGCAGACCGAAGAAAAGATGGATCGACTGTGTGAAAGAGGATATGAATAAGAAAGGTGTGGATGTGGAGCTGACGTCTGACAGAGAAGAATGGAAGAAGAAAACATGTTGTGCCGACCCCACGTAACGTGGGATAAAGGGCAGGAGGATGATGATGAATTATAAAAAAAAACAAATATTTTATACTCGTTGTCACACAATAGCGCGTGACATCACGCCTAGTGTTGCCAGGTCCAATTTATTATTAATCGGGACAGTGCGTGTAATTAATCGGGATTTGGGGTCGTAAATCGGGACAGACAAAAAAACAAGTATTAGTACTAGTTTGGTAGCTTTTTTGCTTTCAGACATAGATAAATATAGTTAGGGGCTTTCAAAAATGGATTTGACAGTATGAAAAAAAAAAAATTTTTTTTTAATAAAAATACTTGATTTTTCTGGACATTTAGCGTCCCGATTAGGTACAAATCGGGACGCGTCCCCGGACCTCTGAAAATCGGGACACCTGGCAACACTAATCACGCCCCTCCTACTCATATCAGAACTTAGAGAACTTGAACCTTATGCATAACAGAATGGATATTAGTTTCAGTGGGCCGTAATGTCATAGTGATGAGTGGTTGGCGTTATCGCGTATCGGAAATTTTGAAAGCTAAATTTATAAACGAATCACACTCTTTTATAAACTTAGTGAACAAAGTGTGAAGTAATAGTTAACATTGTGAGGATTTCATATTTTTTTAAATTTTATTATCCTATAATACAACAGTTATTGACTTGAAAATCTTGTAGCGTGTAAAAAATATGTGTATTCCTCGTCTCCAATGTCATTATCGATTTTATTTACCACAAATAAAAGCTTGTTTTTACCAATATTATAGTAGCCAAAATCCCATTCCTTTTTTCTCTATAATCTATTTTAAACCTTAATTGGGTAGACAATTAAGTTCAAAATTGCGTGTTTAATACTCTACAATACTTTAGCCGTACAAATTTCTTTTTGTTTAGATTAAACATATATCTGCGCGCGGCGTTGTCTGTACATACGCGGCGTGCGCTATAGATAAGCTACTGGTAGCCGGTATTGTTCCGTGTGCGGCTCTACAACCTCACGCTGCTACATTACTGGCTTCATTACTGGCCACGCTGGACGCGAACGATCCCGCGAAACATAACGAGTATGTTATGAAAGGTATGTGGATTTATTAGTTAGTTTAAAAGTTGTTAATTTTTACCCCGACTGTACCTGCGCAGCGGATGCCATGTTGGATTTACTTTCGTGCCGGGCACTGTACTTGCATATATAATATAGTTTTTTCAATTAGCTCTTTACTATTTCAGGAAGAATATTTTAAAACTTTCATATAATCGTATTTAACCGTTATCAGAATTCTTTCTTCAAAAAAGTGTTACTAAATAAAGGGAAAAACATATTTTTAATCATTAATTCGAAGTGCCCCGCGCAAACATTAAGTCGCGTGACATTTAGAACCGTTACGTTTCATTTCAATAAACACGAGTACTGGTTGACATTTAGTTTATTGAAATGTGACGTCACACGATGCACGGTCATGGCCGCCCGCGTTGAGTTATTGTTTACATAAGTATATGTTACCATTTCTAACATATTTCATAATTTACTGTTACACCTGTCAAGTAGTGATTAAATGAATTAATAATAATAATATTAATACCAAAAGATGAAATGAAGTAACAAAACTTTGAGTAGCTTGCAGTTTTGTTACTTAATTTCATCTCTTATTTTATTACAAAATTTTAAAACCTATTTTTAAGCCTATATAAATATCAGTTTTATACAAATTATATACCTAAAAAACTAGAATATTAGCGATCTACTCTCAAATTACTAATACTTGGTTTCAGCAATCCTCCGTACCCTATCTAGCTTGCAAGACAGCGCGTTGCCTTATTTAAGTGAAGCTCTACCAAAACTTGCTCACATGCTCGCTGTCGTTTCAAAGAATCCATGCAAGCCACACTTCAACCATTACTTGTTTGAAACACTATCACTGGCTGTATCGTAAGTGCTACTTATATCTTATTATAGTTAGCTAAACTGCCTTCGAGTTGGTTGATATTAGATTTAATGATAATCCTCTCAATGTTCAATATTGTATTGTAATACCCAATGTATTGAATGTACACATGTTATATACAATACTGTTTTGAATAATGTATTGAACATTAGATGTTATCTTACAATACAGTGTTGAATCATTGACGGAATGTCAACCAAATCGAAGCCAATGTAGTTTCGCGTTAATTTAGTAGTAATTATGGGTTAATTAAGTGTGATTAGCCCAAAACTACTACTAAAGGTCTACGGACCAGAAAATAATGGGGAAACACTGTTTAAATCTTGTAAGACGTTATAATTTTAACTTAGCGGATTTTATGATCTTCATCATCTCTCAACCTATTAATGTATTCACTGCTGAGGCTTAGCCCTTCGCTATGGATGGATTCTCGAATAAGAATAACGGGACCATGACAGTGCGGACTGGTGAGTATTAACGACTGCAAACATGCCTTGTAATAAAAATTTAGTCATGGTCCATGTCCCCCCCTCAATTATTGTACGCAATTACTTGATGGCGCCTAATCTCTTTGCAGACTGGTCACTAAGTCCAATCCTAATGCTATCTCAGCATTCGAGGATGCCTTGTTCCCGATATTTCAAGACATCTTACAGAATGACGTTCAAGGTAAAGCCAATATTGATTTTTTTATTATTCTTTCATGCTAAAACTACTAAATGAATGTAGAAGTAATTTAGTATACTTGAAAATATACATAAAGTCCGGTTAAACATATAGGATACTTTAACCCACTTGATGGTTATCCCAAGGTATAAATGTACCATCAAGGAAACTTAACCATGCCGACGAAGCTGCTATAAAAGAGTTTATACTTACTAGATTCTATTTTATTACAAGGTTGCTTTGGGGCCATTAATTTATTACGTTCGTTTCGCTAGTTTTTGACCCCTCTGCTTTGTTTTGCTTTTTACTTAAAAAGGTACTAATAATTTTAATTTATTGGTAGTTTAAAAAAAAAAACTTAAGTTTCATAAATCTTTCATAAAATTTTCAGTCCAGGTACTCAAAATCCACTCTGAAAGTGTATCTACCACTGGAACATCTCTAATAAAAGGTGTTGCTTCTAGTTGGTCATTCAGGATAGTGACGTCGTTGACGTCCACCCATTCCACATCAGCCCCATCTGCTGATCTTACGTATGAACTATCGAGACTCCCTCCCACCCCTTTGTAAGAAAAACTAAGACATTGTTGACCCCCCTCCCCCCCTAAATCGTCTTAAGTAATAAATTAATGGCCCCTTTACAAATAGTCCAATATAAATAATGGTGAATAGAATATTAAAGTAGTTTGACTAAATATAATTTCATGGTGTAACAGAAAGAAATTTGTATAAAAAATTACATTTGCATATTTTCGAATCGAGCTGGCCAGGGATGAAATGAAATGTGACTGTGCATATTTGATACATTAAAAGTTACAAGAACGAACATCTTGATACAATATCAAACCAAAATGACATATTTCAATGGCCAAGGTTCAAATTAATAAAATTTTATTTAAATGGTACCCTTTTACTAAGACTCCACTGTCCTTCTGTCACCAAAAAAAAGTACATAGTTTTTAATGCCACCTTATTTTGTTTTTTCTGCACTATCGTATGGTATTTTTAAGGCAAAAATGGTAAATTTGATGTAATTTTGAATTAGAAAGCAATATTTATAAGGCTTCACCAAAATATTGGACGTAAACGACACTTTGTAATAAAATTATAGGGCGCAACCATATAAGGTATACCTTTCCAAAATTAGTTATACGGCACAGTAGTCGTTTTATGGGCCTACTAGCTTTCCGCCAGCGGCTTCGCCCGCGTGGTCTTGTATTATACATGAAAACCTTCCTTTGGAATCACCCTATCTATGAAAAAAACCGTATCAAAATCCGTTGCGTAGTTTTATAGTTATTTAAGATACGAGTGCGGAAAGTAAGGTTTTACGAATAAGGGCCAAATTGAAAACACGAGCGTAGCGAGGGTTTTCATTGGCACCAATTCGAAAAACCTTTTACGCTCAAGTTTCTTACAACATTTTTCAATGCTTTTTGCGAGGAAATAAAATAAATATGTAGATTAATAAAACTAAGTATGTATTAAAGGTAAAAATTATTTGTTAAAATTAAACGTAATATTTGAACATGTGTTCGTGTCATACATTTTTAATTTGAAAATATTCGTTCTAGGCTCCTTGAAATACTTTTGCCTCTAAAGTTTGCTCGACCAAAAAAAAAAAAATACTTTTAAGCATGTGTGCAGTAAAGGATTTTTATTTAACACGTGTTTAAAGACTCACTCGGTGTTTACCATGGATTAAAAAAATTGCGCTTTATGAGCAACTGCATTGAAAAAGATTTAAGCATACATAGGGATATAGGGACAGACAAAGCGACTTTCTTTTTTCACTATGTAGTGATAGAAAACGTTTGACTCAGTGAGGAATATATATTAAAACGTTATATCAATAAAAATACGACAAATGTTTTTTTTTTGCTTATTCCTTCTCGCACCTAATTAACCTTCGTGCGCAAGACCGACTCGCCCGACAGGCGATTTTTTTATCATTACGTTTATAGTAGGTTAATATGAACAACGTGTTTCGTTTCTTACTAGAGTTCATGCCGTACGTGTTTCAAATGCTTTCGCTGCTATTGGAGTTACGCGGCGGGGGCGGGGTGGGGTCGGGAGCGGGTGAGGGGGGTGACGGCGACGCGTACGGCGCCCTCCTTCCTTGTCTAGTGGCGCCCCCTCTGTGGGAGCGAGCGGCGAATGTTCGCCCGCTCGTTCGTCTGCTGTGCGCGTTCGTAGCAGCGAGGGGACCGCTCGTGTTACAAACCGGACGACTGGTGAGTGTTTTTGCTAGTTGTTTATTTATTTGAATACTAGCTTTCCGCCAACGGTTTCGCCCGCGTGGTCTTGTATTATACATAAAACCTTCTTTTTGAATCATCCTATCTATGAAAAAAAACCGCATTAAAATTCGTTGCGTAGTTTTAAGCAATTTAAGCATACATAAAGATATAGGGACAGAGAAAGCGACTTTATTTTATACTATGTAGTGACGACAATTAACAAGACACAAATTATCTATAGGTATTATACAGGTATAGCTATACAGTGCTTATAATTAAGTGATTGATGCTAAATTTGCCTTAATTATAGATTGTCGCGGCATGTAAGGGGCCATCCATAAATTACGTCACACTTTAGGGGGGGGGGGTCGAAGAACTGTGACATTAGAACAATATTTAGTAGAATTTGTAAAGACAAACAGGTAATATCGGGGGGACAAAATCATGAATTTTGTGTGACGTAATTTATGGACGGCCCCTAAACGTGGATAAGTAAATGGATAAGTAACAGAACATTTTCAAATTATTTAATTAATCAATGTCAAGAGTACTATGACAAGTCAATGCAAATTATTGGATTACTAACATTAATGAAACACAATTAATTTGGATGTGTGTAAAAAAGCAAATTAATGAAATTATTAATTATGTTTTTTTTTTAATTCCACAGAACGCTATGCTGGGTGTGTTCCAAAAGCTGATAGCGTCGAAGACTAACGATCACGAAGGGTTCTATCTCATACAGACTATGCTCTACAAATTCGGCGAGTGAGTACACTTTGATTGTCATCATTACATTAAATATCACTCTAATCCAGTTTGTACGCAATCATGTATTATAATTTTGTAGATTATGGACTTTAATCCCTAATACGTAATATTGAAATTCCTTAAATTATTCCTGATAGGGCAATTTGTAAATTGTCATAAGGTAGAGCAAATTGTCGATCGATTTATGTTTTCGTATGTCTTATTTTATAGTGTACCAAAATTTCTATAAAGAATAATGAGGAAGTATTTTAAGAAAAAAGGAAACCACTAAAAAAAGCACTTCACTAGATGGCGACTCTACCAAAAGTTCACTTTTGCAGGAAACGAACGAACCAAAGATAGTCATTTCCGTAAAAAACTGAAATTAGCAATGTTCGAAACATAGATATCAATACAAATACGAAAAAGTACAAATTGAATATGAGTTGTTTATTGAGTTTTGATAATTAATTAATCTTATACATGAAAGAAAACCGGAAGTATCGTAGCGAAATCTAGTTTCATTTCTTGGACAATTTTTTTTTTTAATAACTCATTAAAATAATTAATATCAGTATTTCATTTTAGGTATACTATACCATATTTAGTTACTGTCCTATAAAGTACCTTCTACTAGCTTCTCTATGGATGGAATAAAAACAAATATAATATATTATATTAGGGGCCGTCCATAAATTACGTCACACAAAATACACGACTTAAACCCCCCCTCCCCCTCCCCCTACTGTCACCAGTTTCTATATACAAATTCTACTAAATATTGTTTCAATGTCACAGTTCGTTGACCTCCCCCCCACCTAACGTGTGACGTGATTTATGGATGGCCCCTTATGGCTTATTTAAAGTACAATAAACATATATGAGTACCATTTCAAGCAGAGTAGAATATCCTATTGCTTCTGCTTAATATTCTCAAAAATAAATCAATAGTACTAATTGTTATTCAATCGAGTATGTCAATATATTATTACTGTATTCCAATCCAGGTCTGTGATGCAGCAGTATGCTAAGCAGATAATGACATTACTGTTCCAACGGCTGTCCTCGTCCAAGACTACTAAGTATGTGCGTGGACTAATAGCATTCCTCGGATTCTACGCGGCACATTTTGGACCAGACAATCTAATACAACTGATCGATTCTGTGCAAGCGAAGTGAGTAATATTCATTATATGGTAATATCAATCAGTACTAGCTCAGGGTCGAAGCAAAAGAAATTGAGATATGGCTAAATTATTTATGTTAATTTTCAGAGGGATCTTTTAGTTTACGATTATTTTCTCCATCATCAGCCCTCTTACGTCTCCAATGCAGGGTCTCTGGCCTTCCTTATAGATGGTTAAGGAGGATGGGCCATGAACCTCCACGCTGGTCCAACGCTGAGGGTATTAACGATTGCAAATGCAGAGGGGACCATCGGCTTAACATGTTTCCCGAAGCTCGGAGTAGCCCAAGATAAGAATTTTTTGGTCACCCATTCCGTGACCGACCCTTGTGAAAGTTACTTAACAGCAAAGATCGCGGGCCGCGCCGCTTATCCACTACGCCACCGAACTATTTTCTATAAACTATTAACTATTTTTTTATTCCTAATATATTTAAGCATAACCTATACGTTTTTGGTCATAACCTATATTTTTTCGCATAATGTTCCTAGACATTTTCCTACACTTTTTTTAGGATAAAAAAAATCCAAATCTTTATATTATCACCAGCCATTAGTGTGGCCAATGTTGGGACACGGCCTTCCCTATCGATTTAATCTAATAGGGAGAATGAGTCATCATACTGGCTCAGTTCAGAACGGTGGGTGGGCAGGAACTAATGGACAGTTTTTATTTACTATTTGTCATTTGTATGATAAAAGAGTTGAAAATAAAGGTTTCTATTATGTATTTGGAAAATATGAACCGTTTTAACTTTTGTCCAGACGCCCATACGATTTTCGCTAATACAGCACTGTGTGACGTCACTTAGTGGCTTGAAATTATAAGGAGCGTTTTCGGCCGACTAGCAGCAGTTACACAAATAGCACCGTATCTCCGAAACTATTGATCACATACATGCTGTTACTTATACATTATTTCTCAGATGTTAATGAAGTAATTGCACTATTTAATTTGAAATTATTATAATATATAAATTAAAAAATTATTATTATATAAAATAAATAGTTAAAATATATATAATAAACAGTTCATATATAATAGTTAATATATAGAATAAAGTAGTCAACTAGTTTATTATAATATATAAATTTGTGTTGTTAGTATGTTCGCGATGTACGTGGAGCGAGTTTTAGTGCCGGAATTGCAGAAAGTGGGAGGCGCTTTGGAACGTAAAGCGGCTGCAGTGGGATGTGTGAAACTGCTCACTGATAGCGCTCACTTCAGACAACACCTGGCGAGATATTGGCCACCGCTCATGCAGGCGAGTATACGATACATTACACCGGTGATTCCCAAAGTTTATTGGTCTTTGAATCGTCTAGTAAAACAGTTCCCACTCTTGGGACCCACCTCATCAGAGACTCGGGGCGGCAATAGGCCCGGATAGAAAACTTTTTCTAACCGGGGCTGTAACTTGATATTGAGTTTACAACAATTACTTGATAATAGATATTTACCATCTAAGCTTACAAAAATTCAAAATAATATTACGGGAAATTATTAGTTTTTTTATAATTCCTTTTTTTTTATGTTTGATCAATTTTGCATTCACAATGTTACATTGAAATTATTCTTATTTAAAAATACAAAAAGAAAAGAAAACGCTTTGTCCTTGGCACTCTGCTCTAACCACTGAGCTACCCAGGACCTAACAGGACTTGTCTATGACATGAAATAATCTAATGTAAATACATTTTCTTAACATACATTTTATTTGTCAATATAATTTTTAATGAATAAATTATTTACCGTTGATGAGATTTCATTTGATACAATTTGTTTTAATTTATTATATATATGTAAAAGCATAACATAGGACTATATTATTATATATATTAATAATATTGTTTTTATTTTAATATTGTTATATTAATTATTATATTGTTGTCTCATATTATACAATAGGCTAACCCAAATATGAAACTATTATATAGGCGCTGATATCCTTATTCGAATTGCCGACGGACGAGTCCACATTACCCGAAGATCACTTCATAGAAGTGGACGATACTCCGGGATATCAAGCTCAGTACGCACAGCTGACCTGCGCTAAGGGAGCCGCCACTGATCCACTAGCAAGTGAGTACTGACTTTATATGTGACTCACAGCGTATCTCGTATAATACCCGCAGATTGCTAATACGCCATTTTGATGACGTGATAGGGTATCGAACAACTTTCTTAAAAGTGTTTTAAATTAATTATTATTGACGCTTACTTAAAAAAAAGGTAAATAAACTTCATTATGTACCTAAGTTTGAAATTTAATTGTTAAAAAAAAAACCGCGTAAACAACGACTCTGAGCGACGTCATTTGTGGGGTAAACAAAACGGTATCTCGGTAAAAAAATGAATTCATCTGCGGTATTTATATTTAAACTCACAAATAAATAAAACGTTAAACTGACCTTTGTCACTGTTAAAAATTAAGGTACTCATTGAGATTATTTTGCACTTTGAATGTTTCCTGCCCTTCTCTTAGATACACTCTTTCATTTGACGTCAGACACAGACTATAAATATTGGAAAATTATATTTTATTGTTAGTTTTATAAAAAAATTATGAAGTTTTTAACCACATACAATATTTTATTTATTTAATTGCTGTTTGATCCCCTATTGAATACTACAATCACTATCTTTAACTAAAAAACACTGGTGTACAAGTATACTTATCGAGTTGTTTTTGTTGTTTTTTATTGTTATTGTAAAGTTTTGTTGCAACTTGTTATAGTTGACTAAAATAACAAATGCTATAAATATTTCCACAACAAGTTAACCTAATTTCATTTAAAATAAATATGTCTAATAATGTCTTATATATCATAATTACTTTTGGTGATGTTTTAAAAAATCGTCCTTTCCTTTTACCATCGCATTATTACGAAGTAAATGTCATTTATTTTTTGTTATCCATATACCGCAATATATTATAAATTGACCTTTGTCGAAAATGCTTGCAATAAGCTAACAAACTAAATGTTATTAAATTATTAAAACGATATTTTTGGATTTTTCATAACCATTTCAATTATTAATAAATAATTTATCTCTTGTATTTTGTGCTATCTGTACTTTCTATTTTTAAATGATGACAAGGGAGTTCTTTAGATAAGGTTCCAGCGCAATTTCATTTTGCGGGAGTTCGTATAAAAATTAACACGATGTCTGTTATTTTTTATAAAAATTAACACGACGACGAAATTAACACGAAAAATTAACAGCAGATCTTAATATTTCGAAATGACTGAAAGTAAAATCAAAATTCATAATGAGTCTTGTTTCAAAAGTTAAAAAATACTGCGTTCGTTTTTCATTACTCAGCTTTTGGTGTCAAGTTTAATTTCGTTTAAATCAAGTCTAAAACCATGTTTTACATTAAAATGGTATTTGTCTTTTATTAAGTTTGGGAATTATTAGCTATTTTTCCCCCCATAGAATAGTTGATTTACAGATGATTATTTTGCTTAAACACTTCCAATAATGTTTAACAGGTATTGATGATCCCAAACGCTATCTAGCTGAGAGCTTGGGCAATCTCTCCAGGACATCACCCGGATTTCTGCCTCCACTGGTGGCTGCACTAGATGAGCCTCATCGTCAAGCCTTGCAGACCTACCTCAACGCTTACAGTGTACAGATATGCTGATACGAACCGACAACCAGCAATCTGGCGCTACTGACCGGACTCAATTAATCAGTGAATATCAGATTAGTGAAGTGTTTGTGTTGTAAGAATGTTTTGGCTGAGGAAAGTGTTTTGATATTGGGATCTTCTAGCTGAAGTTCGTGTCGATGGCTTTTCAGTATATATTTGATGTTCAGGTAAGAAAAGTAAATCAATAAAATTAATTGAAATACCCACCATAATACACATCAGACTAGTAAGACATGTAAAATTCACTCAAATGATTTTGAACTCTAACATCTATGTATTAAGAATTAAAATCCGTTGGAAGGTTGCTAGCTAAGTAATATTAATGTGTCTGTAGAGTGTAAATATGTATTAGGAACAAGAAGTGTGCTAGGTTTTCTATAAAACATGAGCAAAAAGTGCACGACTGATTAACTTGTGAATGAAATTCTCAATGTGGCGCTGAGCGTCTTATAATATTAATATTAACCATTAGATACATAGTTGACGTTTCAGTTATTGTATGTTAATGAAAAATATTTAAAATGGCGACTACTACCCATATAAGTATATATTTATGTCAGCAGATAAACTAAGTATTTTCCTTTATATCTAGATGTACCTACTTACATTATATATTTAAACTTCATGTATCGACGACGCTTTATGTACGGTTTATTTATATAGGATTGAGTAGTTATTGTGTATGTGAAAAAGCTTGTCTCAAAATGATTTGTTACTGTGTCCATCAGTGCAGCAGTGCCACACTTTGATTTTTAAATAAATTGTTAATTCTTTTAGTCGCTATTTGTCACTAGCGAAATTTTTCACAGACAGGCTGAGTTTAGATAGTTGTCGTTAAACATGTTTGTGTGGTGCTGCAGTATTGATGGACATGTTATGTCATGTTGAAGTTACTTATATTTTTCCATTAGGAATATTTTTCTTGGCTTATTTGATTGTATCTATATTTGTCTGTTCAATAAATGTTTCATATTTTGTACATCTGTGTGTGATTTTATTCATGGAGTACTAGCATAGGAGTTTAGAAAGAGTACAGAGAAAATGTTTATACATCCGCGCTGCGAGATTGCACTGCCAGCCTCCATGTGAATTCCTAGTTCAACTAGGCCCTTTTTTAATCAGTCTGTTATGAAAAAGGGACAAATAGCGAAGTTACGTAGTTTCGGAGATAAACGAATCTGTGGCGCTGCTGGGCTGACGTCAGTCCAGCACCACCAGTTAGAACTCAGTACTTACAATGAATTGCGAAAAACTATGCAGGTCTTCTTTTAATCCCTCGTTTATTAGTCTGGGGGACAGCGGCGATAAATAGCTATAATAAAACTTTTGGAGATAATTAAGAATTAATGTAGCACTGGCTGATTCCAGTTTGGCAGCACAATCTGAATAACGATTGGATCAAAGTCAAAATGTATAACGTGAGTGTGTTTGCTATGATTTTATCATCGGAAAAGTGTCCTGATAGAATTCGGTAGGCATTACATGTTTAACTTTGATCTAGAATTATTTGATTACATTATTTCGTCACAATATACGAGATTGAACATTCAATTGGAATAGTCACAAACTGTAAAATACTTTGTGGTATTTCACGCTAAAATGACTTTACGTTGAAACGACAACGAGTTTATTTTAACAATTTATCGCCGTTATATCCTGCTAAGTAAGATACTAAATGGAGTCAAGAATTCACTTCAAAGTCCTGCAGACACGTTATAAGGATATAAGATAGGAATCTAAGTATAAGAAAACACACTTACATTCAGAAACGTATATTTAAAAAAGCATTTGCTACAAATATTTGCGAACCCATCTAAAGAAGTAACATGTTAAAAAATCCATTACATACATTTAAATCTGTATTCTTATATACGCGTTAACAAATATTCTACATCTATAGATGAATGTGCGATCACAATTAAAAAATGATATACATTGCATCATAATGAAAATAATAAGCAAAAAAGGACATTGCATCATAATGACAATAATAAGCAAAAAAGGTTTAATCTCAATTTTTTTACATTTAATTGAAAAATTCTAACCCAAAGATTAGTCACGTTTATATAAAGTTTAAAAATATTGCAAGATTATTAAAAATACATCAAGATTTCATAGTACATAGTAAAAAAAAAGACAAAACACATTAATTAACAATAGTTACGATAATTTATTTTTTTCACAACACAAATGAATTTGTATATAATCCAATTTAATACAAATATTGGAAAGCTTTATTGCTTTTTATTTTGCTGGAATATGCAGGGCGTAATTCGAAATGATTGTTTTAAAGATGTTTCAAAGACCACCATTAAGAATGATATTTTATGTGACCAAAAACAAAAGCTTTTCCCGGCTAATCCCCTTATCATTAAAAAAAATGTGATAATTAAAATAAGTGCACAAAGATAAACATTATTTCAATATGTATGTTTTATTGGTGATGATTGTAAAAAAAAAACATTTGAACCGTAGAAAACAGAGAATCGCACAACAATCTCACTCTATTGCAGTAAAATTTCCTTCATTTTTTACAAAGTACATTATAAAAGCAAATCGGATGTCTATAAACCCAATTTATCAGTGTCAAGTTTCTAAAGGGAAATCCGTCTCTAAACGTAATTTCTGTATCTAACATAATTTTGATAATTCAGTCACTCTGTTTGTAACGAGAATACGAGATAATCAAACTTTTTGCTAAATATTTAGTTCAATAAACAAAATTGGGTTTGTATAAGTAGTCGCAAATTAGATACGTTTTCGGATAAATATTATAAAATGCAACATCTTTATTTCTGTTTAAGATGTTTCATTAGTTGTTATTGCACAATTCAGTTATAATAATAAAAAAATATATTAAAACTTTTAGTACTAAAACAATTATCGTCTTATTAGAAAACAAGGTTTAAATTAAACCATTGACCGCCTAAAGAAAATTGACAACGACAAGAGATAACGTCAATTTGACACGTGTCGACTTATTTTTTAAATCTGGTACTAAAGTTAATTATTATTTCATCATAAACGGTTAGTGTCTAGAAGGCTTTTTAACAACCACACTTTAAGAGCATTTTGTGAAATGCCACAAACGTCTACTTCGTACGAGAACGTATCCAAATTGCTTATAATTTAGCCGGCAAAAGCAACTTGTTTGATCGGCCGATATGAATGCGGGTATGATAGTGTTGTTACGCGTCACTTGAGTGCGCATTCTACGAATACGGGCGTTGCGGTCGCAGTGCCGTTAGCGGTCGCGGGTTGCGGTTTGTCTATGGTTTGGGGACCGGTCATTCGCTCGCCGCGGCAGAAATATGCGTCGCTCAGAGGCCACAAGTCTTTCAGCGCGGACCTTTATGTGGAATAAATAAACATTAATATTAGCTTATTTTTTTTTTTAAGAATTTTATAATTATGTATATTAAAATACACATAAAATTTAGAAAAATCATAAATGGTTGAGATACCAAATTAAACAGTTAAATGTCTCAAATCTGAAAACAACATTTAATTCATTTTTAATTCATTTACTTGGCCAAGGGTTGCCTGCCAGAAATTACGACCTTAGTAATAAGTTCGCCTTTTGTGTAATTATTAATTAGCTTCTATAAAACTTTAAAAATGCAATAAAGTATATATAAGCTCCATTTTCTTGAGTGGGAATCGAGCCAGGGTCGGAGTCAGTTTTCTAAGCTATAAAATTTTATGAGATAATTGATGCCAAGTTTACTCACTTAATCTACCGCGCAGCTGTTAATTTATAATAATTCGTATATTATATCAATAGGACAAAACTAGAAATAGGATTATTTTTAATGAAAAAGCTTAAAAATCCACTTTTGGTCCTAACCTTTGAGTACGAGGGTTCGAGTTCCATTTTTCTATGACTATAGAGGGTCTTTGGTATCAGTTAGGGCCAGTTTCACCGGTTACTGATAAAGTTTCAGATAGTTATCTGATAGTTAACGCTATCTACCGGATAAAGGTTGCTGTTAACTTTTTTCTGTTTCACCATCAAACTGCTAGATAATTTATCCGGCAGATAAGTTATCGGCCACTTATTAGTTGACGGAACGGCAACGTCGCTTTTTTGCGTTTCAATACTACGACCCAAATTATCGTCAATCAAAAATCATTTTTAAAACTTCATTAATATTTTTTTTTATGTTCAATATTATTTAATTAAACTTTTTTCACATATTTTGAATTATAATTTTATGATTCTAGAATGAAAATAATACGATATTCGTATACTTAGCTACGTGTTTACAGAAACGAAACGCAACTGTCATATGTTTTGCTTTGTTGATATTTTATGCTTAAAATCTTTCATTCATTTCATTTTCATATTTCATGTAAAATTAATTTATTTACTTGACATTGGCAGAATTGTGCGAAATGCGCAGATAAATAAGCCATTAATTAAAAAAAAAGAAGAAGAAGACGCTTTTCAGTTTTTAAACATTTCTTTGTGTATTCTTTTCGTATTTGTTAATTAATAATGGAAAAACAAAAACGTGAAAGAAGTGTGAATTTTAATCAAGAAGAAACGGAGCTTCTTTATTTTTTACTTAGTAGCCCGTTGTAGTTTTTATATCACTTTCTATTAACGATAGAATATAAACAACAGCCCGTTTGGTAAGCCGAAATCGATTCCTAAAAATCTTGATCGTCAAGTGATTCTAAATAATTAGGTCTAGGTTTAATTACTCGATTTCTACGGGGTCGCGTAATATGTTCGAAATATTCATCTAATTCGTCTTCTAAAAACTCAAATAAATCCATTTTAGAATATTTGTGACACTCGTGACTGCAATCGACGCAAAGCACACAATAATGGTCTAAAACTAAAACTATTTTCGTTCCCGCTACTTGAAACTTTTTTTTTATCTATCAGATAACGTCTATATCAGCCACTTGAATCGGCTCATAACATATCTAACACTTTATCTGCCAGATATTTTTATCCGAGACCTGTGAAACCAAAAGTTATAGTTTATCTGGCAGATAAGTTCCTGATAGACTATCAGGGACTTTATCAGCAACCGGTGAAACCGGCCCTTAATCTTGTAAAACCGTTGACCAAAATAATTCGAGTATCCCTTTTTTGGACTATACCCTAACTTATATACTTTTATTTATTCATTTAAACTTCTTTGCACAAATAAACCGTACAAATGGATTTAATGCCAGTAGGCATTCTCTACCAGTCAACCGGAAAGTTATGGAATAGATACATTAATAAGGCAGTGCTACAAAAAAAATTAATGAAGTCAATATAGACAGACATATATAATATATTTTAAATATCTATAGTAAAAAACTCACCAAACGCTCGAATCGATGACAGCTCTAATTTTAGGCACTGGGAAGCCGTTGAAAGCCGAAGCCACCGGTAGAGTATAAGCACCCATATCACGGAATATCAACCATTCGCCGACAGCGATCGGCGGCAGGTATGTAGACGGCAACACGCAGTCTAACCCGTCACAGCTCGGGCCCCACACTGAACAAGGCTGAGGCTTCTCGGGCTTTGGCTAGATTATAAAAAACATAAGATATATTATTTACTTGTAGGTAACATGTCAATAACAGGTTTAAAACACATCACGAAAAATGTTTAAAAAATCCACTTTGTCACAGAGTGCTAAGGACAAACTGGATTTTTTAAGTATTTTTTATTAAAAATATTTTTTAGTAAAGCATTATGAATGCAAATTTGATAAAATATTATAACGAGGAAGTATTAAAATAAAAATTAGTTCCCGACATTAAACTAGATGTCGCTACGGCACTTTCTTGATTTCTCCATGACAACCCTTTCAATTTTCTTTCGTGTATAAAAATAAATTAATTTTCAAAACTCAATAAAAAACTCATATTCTATTTGTCATTTGTCGTATCGGGAACTATTTTTTTAATACCTCAATTTAAAAAAATAAAACAAATTCCTCATTCAGGCGAATAAACATAACACCTGTTCTAAAGATAATACATTTTTTGACCACCTTATAGCACCTTGAGGTGAGTGACTCGATTTCCGCATCCCAGCTGCTTTAATAAATTACAATTACTTGGTATAATCACCTCGAGTGTTTCCGCGACGACATGCTGATGATCATACAGTACGCAGTTGAACGATCCATACACTCCGTCGTTGATGAAATACATCATGTGACTCTCCTCGTTGCCTTCCTTGTCCTTCTGACACACCTTAAAAATATAACCAGGAATCCGTTAGTAGTGTTCAATGGTAAATGGCCGGTAATAGACTAGCTAACTATTCTTTTTATTTTAAAAATAACTCGCTTTCCGCCAGCGGGATTCCCAGGGAACTGTTTATTTGGATATCTATTCATAATCATGAACCGAATGTAATTAATTACAATGACAAATTGAATGTTAGACAACCATTACTATGGTAACGTCTAATTCCCTATACAAACTTCCACTCTCATTTTGATCCGTTTATTTGCCGTTTTTCGGGATAAAATATAGCCTATGTTTACCGCATATGATGTAGATTCCCGTAAGCGAAAGAATTTTCAAAATCAATTTAGTAGTTTCGGAGCCTATCGGTTGCAGACAAACAATCAAATCCTCTTTATACTATATAAATAAATAGTCTATTATGCCTGGAAATAATGTAGAAGTAACAGCATGTCTGCGTTAAATAGTTTCGGAGATACGGTGCTATGTCTGATGCTAGTTGGTTGAAAATGCTCCTTATAAATTTAAGCCACTATGTGACGTCACAAAGTGTTATAGTAGCGAAAAAAGTATGGGCGTCGACAATCTTTGTTATTTGTGCGTTTATTTTTATAGTTCTTATGTTTTATGTAACTAATTCCATGCCATATTTACTTTAGCCAACTTTTCCTATTATTTTCATGTTTCCATCATTATCATCATCAGCTCTCTTACGTCCCCAGTGCAGGGGCTCAGGCCTTCCTTATGGATGGTTAAGGAGCATGGGCCATGGCCCTCCATGCTGGCCCAATGCGGATTCGAGGATATTAACGACTGCACAATCAGTCGGAACCAACGTTTTAACGTACCTTCCGAAGCCCAGAGTAGTTTGAGATAATATTTTTTTTATCACTGACCCTTGCTTGACAACGACGATCGTGGGCCATGGGGCATAACCAATACGCCACCGAGCTATTCGGCTAGTTTTCATAGCGTAATATTTTCCAAATTAGTGTATTAAATATTTACAAATTAAAATTTTCCATATTTACCCAACATATAACAGAAAACTGTATTTTAATTTGTTGGAACAACGCTAGCGGAAAGTTTGTAACCCTGTATATTTACCTCTCTCTTAGCGTGGACCAAAGCGCATAAAGTGTAAGCGGCGGCCGCAAAATATCTGCCAGGTTCAGCGATCACTCGAACAGAACGATCACTGAAGTAAGTCTCCAACGCGCCATTTATCACCTGAGACACCTGATAACAACAATCCAATATCACCCTAATTCATCATCACCATCCTATTAATATCCCCGCTGCTGGGGCTCAGGCCTTCCTTATGTAATAGAATCAAATCGTATAGGAAAAATGGGCCATTAACCACCCGGGTCCAGTATGCTAATATTACCCTATATATATCACCCTAATTCAACATCAGGCCTTCCTTATGTGATAGAATCAAATCGTATAGGAAAAATGGGCCATTAACCACCCGGGTCCAGTATGCTAATATTACCCTATATATATCACCCTAATTCAACATCAGGCCTTCCTTATGTAATAGAATCAAATCGTATAGGAAAAATGGGCCATTAACCACCCGGGTCCGGTATGCTAATATTACCCTATATATATCACCCTAATTCAACATCGGGCCTTCCTTATGTGATAGAATCAAATTGTATAGGAAAAATGGGCCATTAATCAGTACGTATTAGTGGGTATTCACGACTGCAACCGGGACCAAAGGGTTATCGTGCTTTTCGAAGCACGGAGGAGATAAACATAATAAAATTTTGGTCACCCATCCTATGAACGGTCATTGCGAAAGTTGCTTAACAACCGTATCGCTGACCAAGCGCTCTAACCAATCGAGCTCCTCCGATTAATTCACAATAATAATATATTCTATTAACGAATTAAAAAAATAATAATTTAAACAGTCAAACAAAAAAATATCATAAATATAATATTACTAATAAAAGTGATATTTTTTTGTTTGACTGTTTTGGGCAAAGAATTTATAACTTTCTTATAATCACAATAAACCATTAACAGATCTATTTTTCTCCAAAAAGTTTATTAAATAAAGCAAAATCATATTTAATTTCCCTAGGAAAAAAATTGAGTCACGTGACGTTGACGTTTAGTTTATGGAAATGTGACGTCACACGTTGCTTCGTCATGGCACCAAGTAAATTTTATAAAAATATAAGATACCTACTTACATATTATATTAGAACAAAAATACTACATAGTTATTGTTTAATATTACCATTTCACACATATATCATTTTTATAGCTATAACTACTAGTCAATAAAGGTGTAGACATTCTTTATTTGTTTCTCTAAGTTCTGATATGAGTAAGAGGGTGGTGATGTCAAGCACTGTTTTAATTTAAACAATATTATAAAGATAATAAGCACAAAAGTGCGATTATCAGTAATAGTATATTAAACAGTACCAGAAAAAAAAATGTATTTATGTTTTTATTTTCGTTTACTGTCTACATTCGTATTAATAGATAAATAAAACAAATTACCTCTCGTATAGATGAGTGTAAAGCGCCCGGGAATCCCCCGCCGATGTCGAGTAAGCGCATGTTCGCGTGTCCAACATTCGCGGCGAGCGAGAACAACGCTCGCGAATATTGTATAGCGCGAACGTACACGCCAGTTTCCTGCGTGCCAGAACCCACGTGGAAAGATACGCCCACCACCTGGATAATTAACGATAAATCGATTAATATTATAAAAAAACACATTCTCTTCACGCATATAGTTTTTTTTTTATTTTGCTCTGTAGCACGTTAATAATTAATTCTAATTAAGTTCATAAGTAGTTAACTACATTTTAACTTGCTACATAATGCTTAATCGCTTAAAATAATGATAAACGAGACATTATATCTGTCATAAGCGAGCAAGCGGTTCATATTATTACAACTGCAAACTATGACTTAATTAATATCCAATTAACAAACTTATAATGAAAGTGCAGACGTCACTAACGGCCACTCGCACAAACGTCCATTGAGGCTTTTAAGCTCTTAAGAATAGCAAATTTTGCAAAAATTGTATGAGTAATACCGCTTTAAAGTAATGGCTGTAACTTTTTTCATTATTTATTATTTCCCATTTAGTAACTTTGTTTATGTTTTACACAGTTGTACTATACTTATATTTTATTTCTAATTTTACATCTTCGTATTACAATTCTATGTATTGTCAATTATCTATACAAGTAAATAAAGTTGGAGTGTCTGTTTGCGATATTAAAATAATAGCTTTCTACTTAATGTATATGTATACACGAATAACATTTTTTATCTGTCTGTACCGGCATTAGCCGTCAGAATCGGTTCAGCTGTTTCAAATTAATATTTGGGACTTTCACTGGTATATAGCTTATGCAATAAGGAGTAACTTAGGCTACTTCCCACGCAGACAAATTCGCGGATACAGCTAGTATACTATAATGATTTGGTAGAGTTAAAGTACCTCTAGGCCGAGTACTGCGGCCAGTTTTAGTAGACGCGGTGCTTCAGTGACGGGATCGCATCCGAACTTGATGCCAAGTGGACACTGAGCCGCTGTGGCATCGCAACGAATACGAATCACCAATCTATATAAACAAAGTACACATAAATATTAATCTATATACATAAAAATCAATTGCTGTTTGTCTATGTCCCTAAAACTCGAGAAAGGTTGGGCTGATTTTGGTTCTGAAATGTGTGTCGTAGATCAGGGAAGGTTTAAACGGTAAGAGGTGATATGAAGTATACCGGGTCACCTAGTATAATCTATATATTAATACGTGAAGCAAAAACTTTGGACCCCTTTTAACGAAAATTGCGAGGATGGAGAAGTATGAAATTTGGCACACTTATCTATACTAATATTATAAAGAGGAAAACTTTGTTTGTATGTTTGTTTGTTTTAGTTTATATGTAGGAAAAGTGCAAACGGCTAATATTTTTCAATAATAATGCTTATAAAGTACATTAAATCGATAAATAAAACATTACACAAACTAATATGCATTTGAAACACACAAACAAGAGTTTGTTTTTTGAATATTGGCTTCGCATGGTTTGTGTATTTAGCCAGTGTCAAGTATATGTTTACAATAGATATAGATTTATATGTTTGTGATGTTTACCGTGGTCTTACTGAATGTTAAAAGATTTTCGATTTCAGTTATAACTTCTAATTGAAATTTATTATGGTCGAATTTCGGGCACTGGGCAGCCACTAGTATATATAAAAGGCAAACCTGATTGACATTGAAATTTGGTATAGGGGTTCCTTTCATTACGTAAGTGAGCACTTTAAAGAGCCGAAAGGAAGAAAGAGAAGAGAGGAAGAGTCATATTAAGCGTCTATTCCAGTTAAAAAAAAATCGTAGATTCGGGCCTACAAATGGTAATTAACGTTTACTTACTGCGCATGCGGCATATGCTGCTTGATCTTCATCAGCTCGGTCTCAGAGTCGAAGGTCATCGTGTCGACTCCCGCGCGTGACGCGTACTTGATGTGGGACGCCATCTTGGCTGGGTTGGCGAAAATAATGCGTCTGTTCATGGAAAAAAATAATTTTCAATGTTACTGCTGAGGAGGACGTAAAGACAGCTAATACAGTAAACAAATACAGCGTTAAGTGTCCGCTCTGCGATTGCTAATGTTAAGCGACATTCGCAAAGACCGGGAATAAGATGGGTGACCAAAAAATATTTAGCATATTGAAGATTAGAGGTAAATATTTAATATGATTGATTGGAATCTACTTCAAGAGCTATGGTTATTTGGTTCGCGGGTTTGGAATGCGTTAACGAAATTAAGCAACTTTTCTAAGGGCCACATATAGAATAGGAGACCAAAAAAATTATTTACTCAAGCTCTTCTCTTTAGGAGGCAGGTTAAGCCCATGGTCTTGTCTGCATCTGCTGTCGTTAACACCCAGGATTCCACGTTACATCATTGTAACACCTATCATTCCACCCTGGGCCCGCGTGGTGAATTATAGCCCATTCTCCTTATTCATTAGGGGTAAGTTAATAGGCTGATGATGAATGATGGCGCGTTATACTCACTCTGGCCGTACTCCGATACTGGTGACGAGTTCGATCTCAGCTTTAGAGGCGCAGTCGAAGCCGGTACCGAGCGCCGCTAGGGTTGTCACTAGCAACTTATCGTCGTTGCACTTAACCGCTGCAACAATCGACATTAAGTCAAACATTGGTGTCCTAATATGAACAATTGAAAATTTTATTTTTATACGTTTTATTTTAATAAACGTTTAAAGTTTAAACTTGTTTGGCACATAACAAGTACCTACTGATAGCAGTAGGCACAAGTCAATGTAGAAAATTCTTTGTTCAGAAACTGCTATTGTTGCTTGTCGCTTTAGGTGGTGATTATTTTCAGTTCTTAGTGATTGTGACGTTATTTTGTTTATTACTCTTAATAAAAAAAAGTCACAATACGATTCGATTCGAGCTTTAAATTTTGATTTTTCTTCAAGGCGAGGTTGTACGAAATTACAACAGTTTAAACCAATTTTATTGTAAAGCTATGCTTATATTTGCCATATTAAAATCATTTATGAAAATAAAACATATGATTGATTGCTTGCTAATAACAGAAAGATAAATTTCAATAATTTACTCAATAGAGCAAACCCTGACCCTAAGTAGATTTTGTGAATCGATTTTACGACTAACATAATTCATTTTAATTTAACTATGTAATAATAATATATACAAAAATAAGTTTCGAAAATTTTAAGTATACCAAAAAAATATATCAGCATTAGTTTTTAGTTTGTGACTAAAAATGTATGAAATCACGCGAGCGCGCTTTTATTCTCAATGAGTATTTGGAACGAAGTGGAGGGACAAGAGGGCTTTAAAGCACATATCGAGTACGTACCGTAGAACGGCTCGACGCGCGGCATCATCTCGCGCCAGGTGTGGTAGCGGGCGACCACTTCCCCCACATCCATCACGTAGAAGGGGTCCTCCTGCGAGCCTTCCTCCACGATATGCCGCGCCACACTCAGGGGGCTCCACGGCCCCTCCATCACGCGGACGCGCTGCTCCTCCGATACAATCATTTTCGTTTGCCCTGTTGAAACGTTAAAATAAATATTGTAAAGCGTTGGTTCTCAAACCTTTCGACTGGCGACAATCTATACTGACATTATAAAAGGAAATATTTGATTGTTTTCGACGAATATGCTCCCAATAATCGCATCTCAATAGAAACTAAACTACTTGAATTTTACCATTATGCTATCTATCTAAAGTCCAATATAATTAGTGCAATGTCTTCCTCACTAATCAATGGTGACAGTTACATACCTATAATAATATTGGACTTTAGGTAGGTAGTTCAATGTTAAAATACAAGTTGTTGAGATTCTATAGAGATAGGAGTACATATTATGTAAACATTAGTTGAGTCGGCCTGCTGGACCGATTTTAAAAACTCTTTTACCTACATCTTACGCGGGTGACATAGGCTATAATTCACGTGTCGTGGGATACAGCTGGCCCTGTATAAAATTATTGCGACACAAATTGCATTTACCATAGTCCCTTTTGATATATTAATAAATAAAAAAATAATTGCAGTAGCTAGAGATTGCTTATCACTTAAGACAAATATATAATTTCCTAACAATGATTATTTACATAACAGAATCGCAGGCATATCCATACTATGACAACGTATCTTAAATAGTAAAAGTAGCTCTTTCTTTTTTTTAATTATTAATTAATGTTCTTAATATTTTGTATTTTTTTCTTAATATGCAATATAGTACATAGCTCTAGAATGTTACCTGGTTGTGTTGGACTGCGGTTCAGATGGGTTCGCTCCCCCTGTCGGCGGTAGATGCGGGGTGTCAACTGGCCTCGGCGCCGGGTGGCGAGGGCTCACTAGCGCTAGTCCACAAGTGTCAGCTGTTCAACAATTATACTTACTTTATTATTTGTGAAGAGTAACCATTTATCAAATATAAGTATGCATAGCTTGGAATGTCCATGTGAAGAGAAGAGATGATTTGCATCAATAAAAAGGGTTGACATGAATGTGGGTGGAAATTCAAGGAGAGGAAAGCGGTGTAAGAGATGGTTAAACTGTGTGAAAGATGTGAAATGCTGATAGAAATGTATGGAAGAATACATATTGTGCCAAATTGGGAAAAGAGAGCAAATTATTAGCTAAGAGTTTTTTTTTAATTTAAAACGGGACTTTTTTTATTTTAGCGGCCATGTGAAGCGGTATATCCTACTATTTTCAAGTTTTTGAAGCGTAATATTTTCCAAATGACCAACCCTATTGTACTTAACGGCAAAAGGGTTGATGAGTAATTTTTGTATGTATGTCCGTCAGATGATTGAAGAATATAAAAAACGCATTTTTTTTAGTAATCAATGTCGGTCAGTCAAGGGTCGGTCACGGGATAGGTAACCCAAAAATTATTATCTCGAGCTACTTCGTGCTTCGGAAGGCACGCCGTTAGTCCCAGCTGCATTTGTATTCGTTAATGCCCTCCAATCCGCATTGGACCAGGGTCATGGCCTCCTTAACCATCCATAAGGAAGGCCTGAACCCTTGCAGTGGGGACGTAAAAGGGCTATGATGATGATACTATATAACGGATTTTCGCGAACCGTGAGTGATGCTAGTACTTACGTGCGTGCGTGGTGGTGGTGTCAGCGGGCTGGTGCGTGCCGCAGCCAGGGCGGGTCGACGTTGAGCGCGCGTCGCCAGCAGCGCGGCGCCGGCCCCCGCCGCGCCTCCTCCGAGCGGAACACACCCGCTCGCCCGGCACTCGCGAACGCGCCGGACTCACCCGGTGCTCCCTACACATTACATTACAAATGAGATGACGAATAATTTTTGTTTGTTTTTACGTCAGGTAGTTAAAAAATATTAAACAGGTATTTTTTTAATTTTTTCGTAATCATTAAATTACGCCGATACATTGAGTTAGAATTTCACATGACGTCACGTGGTACATTTCTAACAAAACTGCGATTTAGCGAGCTTACTCATCTACTTTACCGGCTGTTATCTAAACTATTTCTTGTTAAATTGAAGTAAAAAAAAAATACGTATCTTATAGGCCATAGGCCCGGGCCTACTGTGACCTTAGTGTAAATCCACCCCTGACTACTGGTGAAATGATAAAACCGGATACAACCGGACAGTTTCATTGTGGCAAACAACAAAAAAGCCTGTGCCCTTCATCCGGACGCCTGACAACACTAATACCGATAATAATAATTATAATATAATAATGTACGTTTGACGTCTAACAACTAATTGGTAAGTAACTGCTATCTCTCTATACCTACTGTAATAGATGAAAGGTTATCTCTACGAGTCTGCGAAATCGGTCTGAGAGTGATAAATCCATCGGTGTCACGGTGAGTGGGTTGAGATGAGACATACTTGTATACGTTAATGTTTTGTACAGTTGATAAACATCAATCAATCCATTTATTCGACATATGAACGCTTATATGTATACGATCAGCCTATCATTGACAGAGGGCCCCTTAACTGCAGGGCCCCCAAGTTTATGTGCAGAAACTTATATACAGGGTGTTTGGTGCATGGACCGGCACAATTTCGTCACAGCTACTTTTAAGCCAATAACTAATGTTTCAAGTGTTACGACTACTTTTTTTTTCGTTATATTTATGATTACTCAAAATAATACCTTTAAATTGAATATTTTTTTGTTTGTTACTTACATATATGTTATTATAAATTATAGTGTATTTTTTTAATTGTTTGCTTTATTTTGATGCAATTCAAAGATATCATTTTGGGTTTCATAAAAACAACAAAATAAAAAAAAAGGCAAAGATAAAAGGAATACTTCGAATTTCATAATAAAATAATTATAGTACACCTCTGACGGGATCTTCCCTAGTAAATGTTTAACAAACGTGACCAGACAACCTGTTTTAAACGGGACCGTCCCATTTTTTGGTTATCTGTCCCTGTGTCCCCGAAGGTATTTCCCGTTTACGAAGAGAAAATTTTCAAATTTTTTCAATTATCAGATTCAGTCATTTGCACCATAAGTAAATCAAGTCACAAAAATTCGTAATTTCTCCACCTATATTTAAAAACTGACGTCCCTTTTGTAAACCAAAGACAATACGTAGGTTTAATTATATTTAGTTAATTTATTTTAAAAACTAGTAAACACTCGTAATTTTCAGCGGAAAAGAAGAGTTTTACTTGTCGTAAAACCTATGCGAAGAGCTATTTTAACTGTGTTCACCCAAAAGATAACATCAAACGACGCGAAGAAAACACATACACCCATTCATACTATTAATACGGATTACTCAATTAAGACATTGTTTTAGATCCAAAATAGTCAATAATCGAGCAAAATCAAAATCTTAAATCAAAAGTCGATTAAATAAATAAAATGAATGAATAAAAGTTCATTAATCTAATAATTTTAAACCTCGAGATATACGATTACAATATAAAATAAGTTAACTCTACATCATTTTTTTTTATTATTTTGAGGCTTACATAATCATATTATACTTTGGGGAATTTATGATTACTATCAAAAGCCATTTGTCTCCAAAAAGTAAGTCCTTGGCGACAACTGGGAATAAACATAATTAATTGATAAACAAACAGTAACTATTGATTAAATTGAGCTCCACGTCAAATAATTTGACATGCCGTTTCATTCGTCAATTTATTAAACACATACCAGAGATAGTACTTTACTAGCACGCATACTTTAAAGCTCAAAAGAAGTGTGAAAAATAATTGTCTCACCTTTAAGAGCGAAATTCTCAAAGCTTTTAGTAACTTCTAAGCAACAACCCAACGGTTGTTGCTAAACACAAAACTATGGTGACCTTAACGCGTTTTCAGATCAGACGTACTGATCCGAAGGATTCGAAAAAGTGATTTGAAAATAGAACAACTAGAACTGTCACAAGGGAGCCGTTTGGCGCCAAACTGATTAAAGAGGCGTGCGCACGATGTATTTATGCTGGTTCTTATCTACGAATTACGCTGGGATGCGTTATCAACTGTCACAAGATGGAGGCGTTGCTTGTAGAGAAGTACGCAGCGGTAAGAACCGCTTCTTATGACGCAGCGCGCCTGTTAGATTTTCTCAGCCAATATATTCGTGTTCACTATTAATTCCTTGTTAATTCAATCCAAATGAAAGGGTTAGATATATAGTTATATCACTAAAAATACTATGATAGAACATAAATCTATTTATTTATTTATTTAATACAGGAAACAGAACTTTGTCCAGGAAAATACGTTTTGAGGTCCCATGTTAATAACAATAATAAAATAAATAAATATAATTAGTTAGGCGCGTGCAAATTGTTTATTTAAGATTTCCAAGAAACAAGATAATGAAAGCGAACGAATTAAAGTAAACATTTCAATAACCAAGTTTATTTGTTTTAAAGATAACTAAATCATGTCATTAAGGTATACGAGTGATTTTATTATAATAGCAATAAAATGGGTACATACATTTCAAATAATGGCTGTCTTGTCCATAATATGAAGCATTAGTAATTGTGAACGGCAACGGCACGTATCACGGCATTCACAACACGTTTTATTTAGGTGCCTCTATCATCCCGGTCTGGGCGGTCAACTAGGAATTGCAATCCGGATTCTTCCAAATTCAAAAATAAATATTTTGAAACTCAGATTTGTTTTTTTTTTAAATATGGATTTCAGTTAAAACTAAATAAAATCTCGTTACTCCATTTTAGACACATTGTATGTATAAAAATTCTGATTCTTCAAGACTCAGTTTTAAAGAAATGCTTCATATTCATTGTTTTTTTTAATGTGGTTTTATTTTATTTTTTCATTAGTAATTTGAGGGGAATATTATTTCCAATTGTGGTCTTATTTTTCAAAATAGACAGCGTCTAGCCTAATGAATTAATACGTGAAACTACTAATATTAGGTAGACTAGATGTTTGTGTCGAGTACCTACTGCCAAAACCTAACGCAACACTAGAATGTATAGCTTCTGGAAATTATTCTATATAAAAAATATTTCAACCCATTGACCTGTGCAAACACAATACGCATAAGAAAGTTGTCCTATACATTTAGATTTAAATACACAGAGAAACATATTACAGTGCCAACCAATTTCCTGCATCGATGAACCGTGTAACCTTTCTATCTGTTTACATACAGGGGGGTCGGTCAGACCCCGCTCCGACTTCAGATAGTGGTGGAGTGACGAATGAGGGACATTTAGACTAGGACACGAGGGCATAATGTGTTTACACAAAAGGAGTATTGGCTCATACAAAGGTAATTATTTTCATAACTTGATCAAAAAGATCTTGAAATGTGTGTGGAATCAGACTCCAAAGTCGGTAGAGCATTAACATTTTTTTGTAATTTTTTTGTAAATTAATGTGTTTAGAGGTAACTTTGTAAAGACCATGATTGGAAGGTAGGATTTAGCGTCGGTCTTAGCTTCCTTCCACTTCTGCCTTGTATCGGTACATCTACGAGGGCGGGATGATAAATAGCCAGCCTAGCATAGAAAAATTTGAATTAGTGTGTTAAAAATATATTTATTTTTCGACATAGTCTCCTTGAAGCGCTATGCACTTCATCCATTTATGCTCTAAAGCCTTGATGCCATCCCTGAAGTGGTTTTCTTCAAGCCCTTCAAAATAACTGTCCACGGCAGACATCACCTCGCTATTATTTTTAAATCTTTGTCCACCTAAAAAATTTTTGAGCTTAGGGAATAGATGAAAGTCAGATGGTGCCAGATCAGGAGAATAAGCTGGGTGTGGTAGCAAATCATAATTTAATTCTTTGAATTTCGCCATCGCAGTAACAAACCGTCGCAGAAAATCAGTTGTATTGCTCTTAAAGCGGTCCAAACATTCTTGTGGAACGCGTTTTTGGTCAACTGTAAGCAATCGCGGCACCCACCTTGCGGATAATTTTTTCATACATAATTCTTGAGTCAAAATGTAATGTGTCCGTTCTTTAGAGATGCCTACAGTATCAGCTATCTCGGAAAGTTTCAATCTTCGGTCAGCTAAAACTGCATCATGAATTTTGATCACAATATCTGGAGTAGCGGCACTTTTTGGACGTCCTGGACGATGTTCATCTTGGGTGCTGGAACGGCCACATTTAAATTCAGCCACCCAATTTTTTTATGGTCGCATATGAAGGAGCATTTTCTCCCAAAACATCCTTCATCTCCGAAAAAATCTCTCCACCTTTTAATCCTTTTAAATGCAAAAACTTTATCACAGCTCGTAGCTCAATTTTATCAATTTTTCAGAAAAAACAAATCAATGGTTTTTGAAATGTCAATATTTAAAAGAAAAACTATACAATCGATTTGAAATTTGGAACACTCGCAGCTAATGAACCAATGAGTAAAATACTAAGGAGATTTTATATCGTTATTATACAAAATATGGGTTGGGCTAGGTATTTATCATCCCGCCTACGTATTTCATTCTTTGAGCCGAAGTTCTGGCCACATTAATTTATTTCTAGTAAAATACATTCCAGGGTTGATAACATTCATGACACTATTATTTATTTATATTAGATGTAGAAGGACTAACAACTAAAACTAATATTCGTAATTTTAATCTGTTTAGTCGCAAATGTTTTAGGGTTATTGGACCAAGGAGAACATCGAGTATTGGTCAAGTCAAAGGTCTTATAATAACGATAACATTCTTATTTCCCCAAAAATGGAATACCTACGTAGTGTTTTGCAATATGGGAATTATCCAGATGGAGTGGAATGAACTTAAGTCTTTGGGGAGGATGTGAATTGATATTTT